GAACATTGGAATTAATTAAAATGGGAGAAATAATCTTAACAAATCTGTTAAATCTCAACGATTTCATTCAATAACGAAAAAATGTTGACTAAAAGATATTAATAATGACCAGAAATTATTAATCCTTGAACATGAAATTTGGTCAGTTTTATTAATTTAAGTTGGTCAATATTCTGATTAAATGAATGAATTTTCTCTTTACGATAATTTTGAGCAAATTTGATTTATTTTTGCTAAATTCTATGACGTAAACAATAATATTAGTTTTAGAAAGTAAATTTTTGTAATGAAAAAAGGGAGTAAATTCAATTATAAGGAAGAAATATGGTTGAAGAGAATTATATGATCAATTCAAACTATTCATACATTATGAAAATGAAGTTTTAATTCTTAAAGATTTTATATTTGAATCTATTGTACTATAATCTATATGACAAATGTACTATAATTTGCACTAAAATTGGATTGCGATACAATTCCTAATAAGAGAGGAAGTTTTTATAAAATTTCGGAAGTTAGAGAATTAAAGAAATTATCGCTTCAACTTTACAATTTTCGCAAATTCATAAACCAGATATATAGAACTTAAGGTAATATAGTTTACGGATGTATGTATTAATTGCCAGAATAAAAATTTAGGATAGGTCAATGGAATAACAAAAAAAAAATGGGAATCTGCTCTCCTAATCAAGCTGAGAAGAAGAAAAAATAAAGTAGGGCTAAATTGTAGATTATAAATTGGGCGCAACGAATGAGACAAATATACATACTCGTAGAATATTTCGACAAACGATAATTAAAAAAGGTCATTTATATAGTCAAACTTAATCCATTAACGCCAACATAAGCTTTTATTAATCGTATTAGAATAGAACATTGCATTACGTTTAAATTATAAATTTGTTAAACGCAACACAATAGTAATAATATTAACACAATTATATATACTTGTAAATATAATGTACCAAAATATTATGTACATAGATATGTTTAATATATTTATAATATAGTGGATATTATGTAGATGCATATTGAGTGTAATTTTAAATAAATGTCCTTTTATATTACTTGTTGTGCCATTTTTTCTAATTATAAAGAAATTAATGTGTTGATCATTATGCATACATTTACATATGAATTTTGAAAAATTAAAGGCTCACTATGTCATTAATCGAAGAAAATAAATTACAGATATGGCCCCATATCTGTAAATCTCTCGAAACATTGAAAGAAAATTTGTAGCGTGTTGTAAATATAGAAGGCATTAACATGAAAATTTTTATGCCTTATATATTAACAATATATGTACTTATGTATATGTAATACAATATATTATTATTTTTAGAATGTGTACTATTTCGCATCTAAATCTATATATATGTAATATCTAATATCAATATAGAATACATTTATGTATATACATAAAAGTTTATGGCAATATTATAGTTTGAAAGTCTATTTAAGCAAATATTGACATTGGTAAGTGGATAAATTCATCATCATATATGACGTTGTAATGTCCACCAAATTTTACATCAATCTCCATAATTTAAGTATGTATATTATATATGTACATATAAATATACGAGAAAGATGATTAGGATGATTAAAATTTAAGAATTTTACATGTATTTTTATTAATGTGATAAGTTTTGTTACTATATGGATTTGCAAAAATTTGCAAAGAATTTCTATAACATTAAAAATTTTATACCCTTATTAAAAGTTTACTATTGTGATTTTAGTTTTCTTTCAAACTTATTTTATGAAGTGTTGCCACTTTCCTGCTCTTGTTCTTTGTATAATTTCAGTTAAATATTTCTCTTTTAATAAAAACGAAAGATCAATGTACTTAAAAGTAATTATATTGATTATTAAAACCCGATCACAAATTAATTGACAAAAAGTACTAAACTATGTGAAGTAATTTTTGGGCTGAAATTCACTCATCAAATAAAAGAATATGTGCAAAACAGAAGATAAGAGAAAATTGCAATACCAAAAAAAAAAAAGAAATTTATCAAAAATCTGTCCTACGGTATTCTTTCGCTTCCATTTATATTGATTATTGAAGATTATATTGATTACCATTTTTAGATACTCGCAGAAATTTTTATGGGACGCATTTAAAACTCATCGATTAAACAAAATGTCAGCCCTGACTTTCTATACACATAGTGATTGTTTATTACTCCATCCGTCAGTATAAACGTTTACCATCATAAAGATTAATATATGAAATCTTAATTTATACTAAATAGTATCGATACAAAAACAAAAATGTAAGAACCCCATATGTCCAGGAAATTTAATATCCGCGTATTCCAACCTTTTTTTTTTCTTGTTATTTTATCTTTTCTTTTTATTTTACTTCTTCATTCCATTTTTATTTTAATATTTTTTCCTTTTAATTTTTCTAATGGCGACAAATCCATTATTGGTTTTCAGCTAATCAAAAACAAAAGAAGGCTGTGCTGTTTTGACTTAGTGGATTTAATGTGGTAGATAAAGGTTATATTACAAATTTACAGACATGCATTGCGTGTACATTAACTTAACATATTTTAATATGTGTGTAGTTAAGCACATGAATGTTTTAAAATCGATATGGATGGTCTAAAACAGAAGATTGTCGCAAGAGGATGAAAAAAAAAAATAATTTTTTGAAGTACGTAAGCCCTATTCATTTAATTTTACTTCTTATGCCTGGTTAAAAAAATATCAAATTTCATTAGTTTTATATAATAAAGGAAAATAATGGCAGCTGCAATATATGGGAATATATGCATGTACTTACATATTATGTATGTGTGTTTATGTATTTCTTTAAATAATTTTCACTTCCATAAATTAACTACATATATAGTTTCAAGAGTTTAATTAAATAAATAGAATTTTATACTTTAATAGAGTCCAATAGAATTAAGTTTCCATTACTTTGGGGACAAATTTACGTTGTTATATAAGCAATTTGTTCATTAAAATTATAGGTATAACAAAGGTATAAAAATTGTTTAAGCCTACCTTAACTAAATGTTTAGGAACGAGCGTTAAAGTGCAAATAGTTGTGCAATATTTTAAGGTTTTGTGAAAATTGTGCTTTATAAAATAATAATATTATTAAATAAGTCTGAAATAATAAATACATTAAAAATAACTAAAACTATTCTTATTTATTAATGCCATTAATGTCAACAGAGTCAATCTACAATGTATGAGAACTGATACAATTTTAAAAAGATGCACGTTGAATATTAATTGTTACGGGTTTTGGTATAATATGGTAAAAAAAAAAAACCAAAAGTTCATCAGTTTTTTAACTTCTCCGTACTTATGTTAAGAAAATCGTATACCCTGACGAGTAGAAGACGTTCTCCGTGAGTTCCTTATTAATTATTATTGTAAAACTCACTTTTGAATACCCATAACATTGAGCGTGATATATATACCTTCATGTTAACATGCATAAATATGTATGTATAAAAATTGTATAATACATATACATATATGCTATTTCATTAGTTAAAGAATATTAATTTAACTTCTCTTCAAACACTGATTATTTAATGTTTAAATTATGAGTCAAATTTGAGTTCAGCATTCTATACTCTACTAAATTCCACAATATAAATTTCCAATATTTTTAGTATTAAACTCGCTCTTTAGTACCAAACTTGATTTATTATCCAAAAAATTTCAAATATTTTATTTCGCAATGAATACAAAACAAATATGGTTTGAAACTTTGATAAAGAAGAGAAAATTTTAAAGGCCGTTTTTATTGTAGTGAGCGCTAGGTCCTTTATAAACTGAACAAAAAGAACAATTTTGCAAATTTAAAAAAAAAAAGTGAAATTAAAATAAAGAGAGTTAATAAAATAAAAAACATCAAACAAAATTTTAACAATTTTGCTTTTAGATTTTGTTTAAAAATTTCCATGTGGAAAAAAATATTATTACGTTTGGTTTAAGCTGGCAATAGCTTTCATAAGGTAATTATACTCAATGTTGCCTTCAGAAATTTTCTGCTACTGCCTGTTCATATAGTATTATATGTCTAGTCCATGTAATTTCCCTATTAGGTTTTTGTATCTACTTCGACAATTAATAATTTTGAATATACTTTTCTCAAAAATTGCAAAGCAGAAATTTTCAATCTAAAAAACTGAAAAAAAATTTTGTTTGCTTTTTTTCTGTACGATTTTCTTAATCTACTACCGCTTTAAGATTTTAAAGTAAAAAGATGGTTTGAAACTTTAATAAAACAAATAATTCCTTTTTATTAGGTGTGTATATTTGTTATAATTTTTAGCAAATACATAAACCTAGTAATAAAAAATTCTTTTCAAAGTGACATCTGTGCATGGGAAATATAAATATATCACTGAAATCTAAAGAAAAATAAAAATTACCGTTAAAGTTTAAGTAGGAAAATATGTTAGGAAGTTAATGAACATATTTCATTTTAATTTTCACATCTTCCAGCAGATGGTAGAACTAAAAATTATTTTATGTAAGTGCAATTTATTTATTGCAATGAAATTTCCTTTAATTATCCGTGCATAACGAAACACTTAAGCCCCAGAAGATAAAAAAACCATTAAAATTCAGACGAAGTTAATTAATATTTTTATAAGGTTAATGATTTTTGAGTTAATATTAAATTTATTCTGTGATATTTCTTATACATAATATTTCCCACCCAGGGTGAAGAAATTTAAGGCAATAGGTAAGAGCATACTTATTATTACTATAGTTACTTTAAAATAGTTTCTGGTTACTTTACGATAAATTTTACTTGACATCTATAATAAGGGGAAGTTTTCGAAAAATTCTTCTAATCAATTAGACAAGACAAGAATCAATTTAAAGTTTCAAGTTTAAAGACGAATTTGACATATTAAATTTAAACCGAGAAACACTATTTTCTCATTTTAAATATTTTTATCTATTGAACATACTTTTATAATAAATTACAAAATAAATCTTCCAACGCAACAATTTATTTTAAGATTAAAGTAACAATATAACAATTTTTAATTAATTAAAATTTCTCAATTTTCCACATTTAAGTTCAAAAATCACATTTCTGTAATATTTAACGTGATTCATACAATAATGTAAACAACAACAACTATATTAGCTATAAAGTAACATTTTAAATTTTACATAATCTTTCATAAATAATTAAGCACTAATAAAGCTATAGGTTATTATGAATATTACAAACATTTAAATAAAAACATTTAAAACATCAAGAAATTAATAATTAGACTAAGTTTGCAATAAGAGTGCAACACCACCCAGTATCCATTTGGAAGGATGCTCTTTTGTTCTTAGATTAAAGGTCCAAATGTACGTTGGACCACGACCTCTAAAATTTTAAAAAAGCATAATTTGTAAGTCATTTTTTAAAAAATATGCTCACATTTATGTATTTTATACAAGAATAAAGTATGTTCAATTAATAATACATAAAACAATGTTATAATTAGTATATAAATAATACAGTAATATATATAAAAATAATAATATTAATATATAAAAAACTCACATCATATAAATTATATACCTACTCGCAAATATTATGTTTTACTACTTGCCTTGTTCTATACAATGGACATTCATACATTTTATAAATATCTTGTTTCTCTTGTATTATTGATTTAATATACATGACTGGCATTAACGAATACAGTTCCTTTGGTCGTAATTCAACAATAGAATTCGCATTACAGTCCCAACTGGCGCCTTCAATGAATAGACCATGAATGAAAGCACCTTCCTTTGGAGAGGAACTATTAAGGAAAATAATAATGTATTATATAGAAAAAAACCGAGCCTCTTTACACAAATGAGTGTTATTAATCGATTAGTAATACAACATAATACAATCTAATTTTTTTTATATAGTAAAATAGTTTTAGTCAACAATAATAAAAGGGTGTAGAAAAATTGGTTGTTTGTAATTTGAAGAATTATATTATATATACAAATCGATAAAATATTTCCATAAATTAAATAACGAAAATAGATTTTCAAATACTCACCTTATACCATCTTTCTCTTTTTTAGTTACTTCGCAACACAAACACATTTTATCTAATGGTAAATCATTTTTTCTAGCTGATTCTTGCATTATTGCTGTAAGAAAACTTTGAGGATTAAATAAACCACCTAACCATACTGTAGACGGTAATGTAAAATCAATCACCCAGCTACTTAAATCTTTTATTCTCCAATACAAATCTGATAGCCATGGTTGTAATCTTAATAAACTTGGATATGCTAATTTTGACCATGTTTCCGGTATATAATCATAAAAAATTGCATTATCTAAAGATTCCATTTCAGATGTAATTGTTAATTCACCTTTTAAACCTAACATTAATTCTCGTAATGATCTTTTAATTTCTCGTATTAATATATTCATTCGTTCACATTCTTGTAGTGCAACTACAACAAATGGGGTTTTCTTATCAATTCGTCCAATTAATTCAATAATTTTAAATTCATCTTGTAATTTATCTAATATATCATCAATCATTATTTTAACAATTTCTTCACGGGATGTACAAACATCACTACATAATTCTGATTCCCGTGGTTGTAATTCAAATATTATTTTTAAAAGATTTTCAGATGTTGACGTTAAAAATCCAATTTCAGCATTTTGATGTAAACCATACAAAATTGGAGATTCATCAGGTAAATTATCATCAATAAAATTGTGATATCCGTCAAAATCTAAATTTGGTGGAGCTAAAAAACCAGGACATAATTCAAAATCACCATCAATTAAATCTTGTATCATTAAAACATCTAAATATGTACGACATAAACGACGATCCCAATCATCAGTTATATGACCACCATACATTATTTCACCAAATAAATAACGTAAATCCTCCCATGGCGTTCTATTACTACCTTCCAAATAATTATATAACACATTTGCACTAATTGTTAAATCACCAATATTAAAAGGATAATTTTTATTCCAACCTTGTGCACCAAATTTACGTCTTTCAATTAATACTGAATGAAAATAGCATAGTGTAAATAAAATTGATTTAAATTCAACTTCTTGTGTACAGGTCTCAAGAGTTTCCTGACTAAAATTATTCCATGCTTTGTGTAAATTTGCTGCCATACCTGTTGGTGGTTCATTAACAATTTTCATTGAACATTCCAGTATACCTTGCGGTATAACATGACATTCTGGATCCGGTGCTGGTTCAGCACTTATATATAAACGAAATTCAGGATGACAATAATGATTATTATATTTAAGTTGATTTTCTGTTTCAATTGTGGAATTTTGTGGTATTGTTATAGAATTTGTTGTATTTTGTTTTAACTTTGTATATGTTGATAAAATTTTATTTGATGTTGAGGTTGCTGCTGATGTTGTACGTTCAATTAATTTTTCAAGTCTTGGTAACCATTTAGCAACAAGATGAACATTTTGTAAAATCACCCAATGACCATATTTAATTGATGTTTCAATTGATTTTTCAGCAACATACTCTTGCCCTTGACCCAATGATATATTATGTAGTTTACCATTATCAATTGTATAACCCAATTGTTTACCAAGAATTTCAACATCTCGTATAGGATCTATACCAGGTGATAAAATGAAAAATACTGGAACAGATGAGGTTATCTCTTTAAAAATTTCATTAAATGGTATTACTTTCTCTTCAGTATAACATTTTCCCATTGTTTGTTCAATAAACAACCTAAAATTAGAAATTAAAAACATTGTATACTTTGGACATTCAATAATTACAACAAAATTCAAACAATTGAATTATAGAACAAGAAATATGTATATGCATAAACGTATGTATGTATGTTCGGGGGTACTGAAATAACGAAATAAAAGAATAAATTAAAATTCTTATTAGATTTTTCAAAATTTAATTTTGTCAAATGTTTATAGAGGATTTAAATTTTTAATTTGATTTTTGAGAAACAAAGGAATAATTATTATTACCTGCTGCAAAAGTGAGAATGAAATTATATTTTTTTGTAGAATAAATAAATTGAATATTGCATACTTGTAGGTAACGAATAAAGGAAATGAAATTGTAAATGAAGAAATTTTTTGCATTATGTTATTATCAAGTCGAAACAACACGAAAATTTTGAGAATGAATTACGAGTATTTTATTCAACTAAATGGTAGCTACAGCGAAACTTTAAAACTCGAAGAACGAATAAATAAGTACATATCTGAAATGAGTTGGAATAGCAAAAGTTCAAACATGAGACACAATATCATAAGTGTTTGTTTATCATAAGTATTGGGGACGTTATTAGTGATGAAATAGGATTAATGAAAATAAATAAGTATGAAGATAAAATAGAATTTACCCATAATTTCAAAATATTGAAATCAAGGGGAATACTTGGAAAAAACACTATAAAATTTAAAACAGTTCGTTTCAATATTTGTGTGATGGCAATAATAACAGAGAATTATGTTATACTGCAAAAGCAAATAATGAGCTTTGCGTGTTTGTTTTGGGATATTGAGCATATCAAATAGCAGTTGCATAAACCAAATTACGTTATATAAATCCAAGATGTAATTTCGTAATTCCCCTAATGTTTTATTTAATGTCAATTAAAAGCAGTTATTTTTATAAATACAAACGGAATAATTTTGAACTTGAATCACTAAGCTCCAGCATATTTAGATTCTTACGGCTTTAAACCGTAAGACTATTAAATTAGAAAATAAAATATTATTACCTACACATGTAAAGATATAGCCGGAGAACTAATTTTTTTTAATTATCAATACGAAATTATTAATTTTTTTAATGTTTATCAAACATTTTTTTTAATTGGATCCTTATAAAGTTCGTATTGCTTATATTATGCATTCTTTCATTTCATTTATAGTTTTTATTTGTAAAAAAAAATAAATGAAACCTTTTTTTAAAATTATTAAATTTAAAAAATTTTCATTTTTTTTATTATTTATTCCGAGTATTCCCAGCAGAAATTTTACCAAAAAATTTAATACTTTATTCAATAATATTAAATCATCCGACATAATATGTACCCCCAATAACTGAACCAAAGTTCTTATATATAAACTAACATACATGCATATACATGCATAAATATTTTTCTTTAATATATTTAATATTATAAAAAATTAAAAAACTAAAAAAGTCCATGACAAAGCATTTTGATGTTATCCTTAAAAATCACATAAACCTTTTGTTCCAAACACAAGTACTTTATATGTCTACATGTATGTATACAAATTCTTTTGTTATTGTATTGAGTGAATGGTGATCTCAGATAAATTTATCAAATATTTCAAGAGTAATTCACATTAAAAACTACATTTGTTATTAATATTTCAATTTTGACAATTGATTAATACAAAATATTATTTTTTTTTTATGTGGCACAGTAATGAAAAATATACAATAAAAATATATTTAATCAAATTTATGGTTTTTTAAATTAGCACTTTTTAATTAAAAATTTAATTGTAGAATTTGTAGATAAATATCTACAAAAACATAATATTACAGATTTTTAAACTTAAATTATAACAATTCAACGTAAACATATTTATCAAATATTTATATTACATAAATAATAGAAAATAAGAGTATACATTTAGTAGGGGCTCGACTACTATTGCATTTTCACATTTTTATAGAAGTTTGAAGAAGATCATAGGTTCTAAGAAGTTTCCAGATTAAATTTATGATATGAAACATAACTTCTGCCTAGGGTTACAAGGGTCTGTCTTTGAATTGAAATAACAAGCTAATTATATAAAAAAAAAGCAAAAGTCTATGTGTCTTACTTCCTTATCTTAAACGTTTTATACATTTGTAGATTATAAACAGACAGACAAGCAGATCCAAACTAATAATAATTTTTTTAAAATTTTTTTTGAAATGTGGAAAAATAAAAAATTTTTTCCTTTTTTCATACAAAAAATCTATGAAAAATAACATTTTAAAAACTAAAATATTTCGTGGTAGCTATGAGATAAGAAAATGGAAAAATAAACTAATTCGTAGTAAAAGTGAAAATATAAGTTTAAATTAAAAGTATAAAATGCATTTTAAGGTTTAAAAAGCGCTATACTCTTGTTGCACAGAACATATTTCACATAAATAAAATGTTAAAACAATTGAAATGTAACATAGTTGAAAAAAAAATATTTTTCTAAGGATATACTGGCATTTCATATTTTTCGTTAGTATTGAGGGTTATTACAAAAAAGATGAACTGCGAAAAAAAATTCATATGGATTTATTTTTGCGTCTCTTCGAATGTCATGAACTTTGCCATATGTGATATCCTTAAATTAAACTACTGCGGTATATTAATTAGTAAAACGATATAAGATTTTAGAAGGGAAATTTGATTTTCTTTAAAAGAACAACTTTAAAGAGAAAAATGTGTGAAAGAAAAAAAACTTTCCTAGTCTTTGAAAACACAAAATATATCTAAGACTATTAAAACTCTAAAAGATCGAAAATTATTAAAAAGTTATGTTGTTTAAGCAGCATTTTATTTAACATAGTTTTAAAAACTGTAAAAATCGTGTTTCTATATTCCTTTTTTGTGTTTTTCCTGTGCTTAGTAGAAAGAAGACCCCAAAATTTTTGCCTTTAATAAATGCAATCAAGTGTAAATCAAAATAGTTTTTACTTAAAACATTTTGAATCAACAGTAAAAGTAAGTTTAAGTTTTATTAATTTAAATTTTTTTATAGGTACTTTAGAAAAAAGGCCTTTCATTATAAAATATTTTCCCAGCCCCATTCAAATGTAAATGAAACCACCTCGGCCTCAGGCCACATTGCGAGCTAGCCTTATTTCCACTAAATTTATTGTAAATCGTTATAATTTCGTATTTAAAAATTGGAAATGCTTAAATTTCAAATATTGAGAGCATAACATATTCATAACAGAAACAGTTTAAAGGTTTTCCTTTTGACAACATTATTTACATTTTCAAAAAAAGTAGAATTAGAATTTTAGAAATCTGCTGGAAAACATATTGGGCATGAGGAAAAATCGGCAAATGTGTAAAACTGTCAAGGACACTTCTAAAACTTAAAATTCATCAAATTTCTGTTATAAACGTGAACTTCTGTTACAAATTTTAAAATTTTAATTTATTTTTGTTTTAAATTCCAATATAAAACAAAAATAAAAAATATGAAAATTGTGTCAGCACATAAACACTCCATAAATTTTTTTCTCAAATAAAGTTTTTAAACTCTGAACGAATTTTAAATAACGAACAAAAAAAAAAACGTTCTGCATGTGAAAATTTCTCATTGTCAATAAAATATCACTTCAAAAATATCAAAAATAACAGAAGCGTAGCAAAAAAATTTTGAATAACATGAAAAATGCATAAAAGGTATATGAATGAGCTATTCTATCAGTTCACTTACATATTCATATGTGTTGAAATACACATACCTACACCCACGCTACATATATGGATGTAACCATGCCATTTGATAAAAAATATATTTTTATAAACTTACCGCATTGCATATATCATTCGATCGGGTCTTACAGCTCTTATAATGCATAATTTTTGCAATGGTGTACGTAATTTCCATTCACCAGGAAAGATTTCTCTCTCTGGCATCTCACTTATTATAAATTTTTTCCATCGGTTTGTATAATTTTCGATATCCTTATCAAGACCATAGAAATTTTCAATCAATGCCAAATATCTTATACCACCCCATGATTCTTTACTTATAAATTCATATGGTGACAAATTATTTGGATCATGTGGATATCGTAATAAAAAATCCATTTCATCTTTATTAATTTTTTTTGAATTTATCATTATCCTTAATACCATATGTGATGTTAATATCAATTTATCACGCTCAAATAGACCTCTTGATGTATATAAATGTGTTTGATATGTTATTGAATTTACTAAAGATTCGACACGTTTATTTAAATTTTCATTTATTTCAGCCATACTGATAGCCCTTTTAAAAACAATCATAAATGCTTTTAGTGAAAATTTATAAATTGGATTAATTTTATGTAGATCATTTAATACAAAATATAATATGGCAGCACGTTTTGCCGCATAACGATATATGTCACGTGTTTCATCAATTTTTAATGTTGTTATTTTTGATTCTTCAACTTTAATTTCAATGTCACAAACTGTTTTTTTTGTTGCTTCTAAATTTAAAACAAGTGCTGCATCTTCTAAAACGTTTTCACCAGCAGTAGCTAAACGTACCAATAATTCATCTTCTAATTCTTTTAAGGATATTTTAAATTTATTTTGTTGTATTGTTACCTCAGTTTTCATATTTTCTAAATCAGGTCTTTCAATTTTAACAACTTCTGCTAATAGTTGTTCTTCTAAACCATCAGGTGTTACTGTAAAATTTATTAATGTTGTTTGTGCTTGCATTTCTGGTTTATAATGTGGATTTGGTATTTTTGTATGTAATATTAAACGAAATTCTGGATTATAATCCATTTCTTTATCACCAATTCTAATAAAGCGTCCTTTTTTTATCAAAGAACGACTTAATAATGGTTCAAGAACAGCATCTAAACTTTCACTAATTTGTTCAATTAAAACTGTTTTTCCTGTGGACATAGCTTTTTCAATAATATCAAGATAACCTTTTTGACTAAGTCGTATAATAATAAGATTATCTCCAAGACGGTTTTTGATCCATTTAAGTCCTTGTCTGTAATGAGTTTAAAACAACATCTATAATATTTAAAATTTAGCTCTATTTTTATATATTTTAAAGAAAACAAATTTCATATCAATGTACTGTATTTTAAGCTTTATACTCCTCACATAACCAAAATTTACCTTTTCAATAGTTTTTTTGTACTTGCAAGTAAATTCGTGTAATTCTTGGTAATACATTTTCTATAAACGAGTATATTAATGATACCCGCTGGGCAAAACAATCAAAAACTTTCTCTATCGAGAAAAGATAGAAATGGCAACAAATTGGTGTGAAAAAAATATATGATAAAAAATACGTAAAGGTTAATAAAAAAAAATTAATGCATAATTAAAGTTAAGGCGTTGACCTTAAGCAAAATTGAAACTATTGTTGCAACCACGAAATTTTCAAATGTAATTTATGATTTCTCGAAATTTAATTCATTAGGAATAAATGTGTAGCTCAAGAAAATCAATTAGATAAAATTTTCCTGACTTTTGGTACATTTTTTTCAGTAAGAATATTAAACCCTTTCGACAGCCTATAATAATAGTAGAAATGCATTTTTTATGCCCCCCCCCCTTATGTAACAAAAACAAAAGCTTAAAAACTATTTGACGTAAAAACTCTTAATTACTTATGAAAATTTTCCAAAAATATCCTTGAACGAAAATAAAAAGTAAATTCCAATTTTATAATTACATTTTTATTTCTTCATTCTACAAAAATAAAAATTGTTACTTTTAATTTCTTTTCTTTCAAGTTTATATTATACACTTACAATTGTGGATCAATCATTAAAGGCCATCTTGTAGAATTTGTTAAAATTGTTGCATTCTCAGTTGACATTCTATCCATTGGGAGACCTTCATTATTCCACAATGCTATTTGAGCATCATCGGCAATCAATGTCAATGGATCAACTCCCTCGGTGTGTGGTATAATTGGCTGAGAAAGAAAAAGAGATGAGAAAAAAAAGAATTCTTTTTTGACACATTCTGAATTAAATTTTTTTATTACATAATTTTATTTTTTTTTCGATTATCTACGTACATACATCTATTATGTGCATTGTAATATATAGATACATACATACATAATATAGTAAGTATATAGTAAGTGAAGGATGAATATAAAAAAAAGTATACTTCAATTTTCTTAAACGTTGGTATCCATAGCTTTTCTTGTAATTCTTGCCGATATCTTCTAGTAAAGCAACCCACATATGATAAAAATGAAGATATCAAAAGTATATCACCGGGTAATGTTACAATTTTATTCCGGAGGCTGTAAATTAAATTGTCAGGAAAAAAACAATAAATAAGTAAAAAGATATCTCAGTACAGAAAAACAAAATGTGATTAAAAAGAGAAATACAAAATTGTCTCGTCAATATTGTTAAGAAGCAATGAAAGCCAAAACTATAAGATATTTCGTAATTTTTGCTATTCAAAAAAATATATAATTTATATATTAATTTTTATTCCTGTTCGATACAATTTCCAAACAGAGCCGCATTCTATTACTTCAAGAATTCTCCGAATTACTTCAGTAGTTTGAAGTGTTATAATATACTCTTGAACGGAATAACAACATTATCAAATTATTGATTTCTGTACATGATGCTTATTAAGAGAAAAGAAATAAAGATTTCATAGATTTAATGTTGACTAATTGAATTTTTAAAACAATATATTCTAACTAAATAATATAACAGTTTTGGAAGGCAGGTTTTCAATCAAAATATTTGCAGTTCATGATAATTAAAAGCATTTCCTATTAATTTCGACATTAATTTCGGTATTACTTTCTAAAAATGAATTTAATAATTTAATTTAAAATTCTTAAAATATTTTTGAACAAAATTTATAAATTTTTGATTGCTTTGCCTGTTATTTAATATCAAAAATATAATTGTATTTGAACGTTAAAACGCCTATTCAGATCAAATAACCAAAGTGGGGGACTCTAAAGTGAATCAAATGAAATGATTTTTATTATTTGTTATATACAATATACATACATATATGTATGAATTACAGTGTCCTTTTAACAATATCTGAAATAAAAATTGAATTCAATATTGAATTTTTTATTTAGTTTAGCAGTTATTTATTTGAAAAAATATTTAAATTATATTTAATATTTACTTTAACTTGGGATGTCCATATATATATGTATATAGAATTATGGAACTACTAAAATTTTTAGGCGTTCATTTCTGAATCGATTTTCGTCTATTTTAATACCTGTAAAATTTCGATAATTTTGTTTCATAAGTTGGTCCAATTTGCTAAAATAAAACTGAATCTCTTGTTATTAAAAAGCAGGCAAACAAATCAAATTTCTGTATCGCATAATTTTATGTTAATTCAAAATATATGAAACAACAATTGGATAGGTCACACATTGCATTTCAAAAAATTCTTTTCAACTAATTTTTTGTCACACGAAACTAGTGTGTTAGTTCATCTTAATTGTTTTCGTTACACACATACATACCTTATATTTCAAAATATCAATTTATCTTAATATTCTATCACTAAGCAATTTGATAATTAATCGATTTGAATTTAATCAAATTTTATTTAATTTACGTTGGTTTTTCTTGTAATATTAAATTATATAAAAAATATTAAACCATGGAATTTCATTTCATTTGAAACCCCATTTTATTAATGCAAATATTAATGAACAGCAATATTTTTGATTCTAAGAAAATGACCTTGAGTTTTGAATTTTTGGAAAAATTATTTCGTGCTTAGAGTTTTATTTTATTATGTTTTGTATTCGTGTATATATTAATATATATATTTATAATAATGTATTTATACCATTAAGAGGAGATTGGTTTTTGCCGCATTATATATTTAAATACACCTATACATATACGTCCGTTTTCAATTCTTTTAACATAAAAATTGATGAAAAAATCCTTGAATGATTTTCAGTATTCGGAAGAGATTTTATGTTCGCATGGCGGTTATTTACGAAAAACAAGAAAGAAACCTTCAAAATTTTAAGGATTTGCAGTTCCTAAGAATTTACTTAAAATTCTAGACCATTTTTTCTCCCAAGATTACATTTTTTCATTAAGGTGTTTAGAAGCTTATAAAATTTTGTTTTTTTTCGTAAAAAATTTTGGTCTTATTTTAATGTTATTGGGATTTTAATCAAAAGTTTTAAAAACTTTTTTTTTCAATAAAATTGTACTGTATAGGATATTTGTCACTAAATGACAAAATAGACTTTGATAACGATGATGTATGTAGGTTTCTGATTATATGTACCAGAACTTTAAACTGAATTTACACATAAGAGAGAATATTTGGTATATGGTTATTGTTGGAGCAGTTTGCAAAATTGATCCCGGCAGAAAGGTGATAAATTCCTTAAAATTTTTGGAAATTCATTTTATAATTTCGTTTATCTTCTCTCTAAAAACTTTTCTCACAAAATTTAATGAAAGAAACTATATGGTTACATTATTGTTGATCTTAGCATTGCAAATCTGATCTGATATTGCATAATGGAAAAAAAAATTCTATTAAATCAGTTTAAAATTATTTTTTAAATAGTTTAAAAAAAGATTTTTTTATATATTGAAAATTCAAATTTAAGAAAATAATGCAAATAATTCTTTTTAAATAATAACTTTAAGCAAAGATATAATTTACTTATTGTAATAAAATAAAGTTTTAAATACTAAAAAAAGAAAATTGTGAATTTAATATTTTAATAGCTATGTTTTGTTGAATAATTAATATCAATGAAAATAATGAAATATAAAATGTTTTTATAAGGTTGATAAAAAATTATGTAAAACATTTTTAGCAAATTAACAGTACAACATCAAATTTTTAACGGCAACACTGCTTTTGTAACCGATTACATAAAACGAATAGAAAAGCATTATTAGAAGTAAATACATAGTTTATAAATAAACCGTCAAACAAGACAACATAAAAATTTTAAAGCCCTCTATCGGAATAAACGTTAAATTTACCCATTGTGTTTGTCTGCTATAATTGAGAATAATTGAGAATAAGTAAAATTTTATTGTTAGAACATAATATTAATAAGTAAATGGCATTAACTAAATGATTAAGTATAAAGCACTAAAGAGTTTGAATTGCACCAGTAGCAATTTCGAACAAAAGTAAATTAATTTCATGAGAGCTTTAGCACGAGAACCGGACCACAGTGTATATCAGACACAATCGTGTATTTCAATGAAACTTTTTTAAAAACAATAAAAAATATCATCAGGAATTAATAAAAGATAATTTAAAAAATAAATTTTGAAAATTTTTATAAAAAGAAAAAAAATATTTTTTTTCCGAAGATCTAAAATTTATTTTATTAAGAGCTTTAAATTAAAATAAGATTATAACCCAATTATTTCAGCATCTATTACACATAAAAAACTTTCAATAAATGTTCTAAGCAGTTATGCTTAATCATAATTTTGATAAAGAAAATATTATTTATTAAATTAAAAATTGACTTAAATGAGAAAGAATAATTGCAAATTTTGCTATTAAAATTTAAGCTCTAGGAATTTTATGATAATTGTATAATTTAGCATAAATTTGCAATATAAAATTAATACTATACGTTTTTAAATATTAAATATGAATAAAATATTTAATGGATTATTAAACATTTGATAAAGACAATTTTAAGACACATGAATGATATTCATTTAGTGTACGGATGATCACATTCAATTTAAAAAATATTTGAACCTTTTACATAGCCTTTATTAATTTCTTTTTATTTGAAATTTAATTATAATAAATTTGAATATTATATTTTGAAATTTATTTGAATATATCTTTAAAATAACTCTTTTTTATGGAAATTCTTTTTCCTTATTTTATATTTTTATATTAACAACACTATTTTTAAAATATTCTGAAAAAAAAACAAGATTTTTGATCTAAAATGCATTGCAAATTCATTTTACCAAAACACATGTATGAACTTATATATACAGTAGAGTCTCAAAATAGCCAAACAGAGTGACCTCTAACCACAGTTGATAATTGTGGTCAAGAATAAAATGTGTTAAAAAAGGTTCTTTAAATTAGCCATAGGGATTTTTAGTTTAATAGAACTTTGCAACTTGATTCTAAAAATATGTGGTAAAGGGTTTTAACACGCATATCAATTTATCTGAGGCCATTATTTTGTGCTTTCGTAACTTTTAATATAGTTTTTATATGGTTTTTCTTAGATTTTAAATAAAGCATACATAATAATATAGAGGTTCGAAAATAATGTTTCTCTTATATCTACAAACTCTAAAAAAATCTTCAGCAAAGACTATATTTAAGTTATAAAAAAGTTTCTTGATATAGTAGACTTCTCGTAGTAATAGCCCCGTAATAAACAATTAATTAGTTTCTATATAATGAGACTCTACTGTATATATAATAGACAATTGAGTAAAAGCTACATATAAATGTAATTAAAAGCAAAATTTCCATTATCCTTAAAAATTTTAGAAAATGTCTGATATATATTTATGACCAAATCAAATTTATTTTGTACAAACTTATGTAAGTACATGCAAGATTAATTTTCGTATGCTCAAAACTTTAATTCATTTTAACTAATATTACATTTTGCATAATATTATATGCAAATTCACATAAGCATTAACTTATTTTTGACAGAAGAATCTTTTGTTTTTAATTTTTGAATATTAAAAATTGAATTTTTTTATTGGGATTTTTGCAATTTATATTTTATAACATTTAGCATTTTTTATTATTATCACAATTTCTGAATTCTTCAACATTTTGAAATATCGTAAAATAATTTACAAAAACCTGTAAAATGTGTACATTTCATACTTCAAATGTTTTAAAAAAAATCGTGCTGCAAATATGGAAAATTTTTAAAATTTAAAAAAATTGAAATATATCTTTCGAGTAATAATCCGAAAATAGACTAGAAATTTCCGGCAGATTAATTCTATTATAAAAATTTTAAAATATTTATCTTGAATTTTCAAAAGAGTTCTAATAACAGATAAAATGTTTTTAGAACAGTCGGATTTAAAATTACTAATTAAACATGTAAATCTTGAATTTGAACCATTGGTTCTCTCTCACATATTATTTTAGCTTTTTAAATAGCAGTATTTTCTGTTTTAAAAAAATATTTTATTAATAATTATAAATCTAAATAACAAATTAAAATTACTACATAAAAAGGTTCAAATATCTATTTAAATAGTATCAAGTTATTTAAAAAATTTTGTTAAAACTAGAATAGACAGAGAGTCGAATCATTCTTGGAGCTTTATGATAATTGGACAACTACTTCATACCGCCTATTATGCTTCTGTATAGTTCTTTTTTTACGATGTAGTTTGAATATTTTCTGAAATATCAAATTTAATGTACTCTACCAACATTTATTCGTTTGTTCGGACAATGAAAACACAATATTTTTTTCTTACTATTTAATTATTTGCCAGAATATATTTTTGTAAATCAAATATGTTGAAATTTATGTAAAATTGAGTTGTTTCTATGTAATGGGCACATGTATATATATGCAGATATACAATTTGCAAAATACAATTGTATTAAAAAATTGAATTATGTGAAACATAAAATAATTAAAATTTTTATTAAAAAAGTCATATCGATTGACTTGAAATCTAAAATCCTTTTATATTTTCTTATTTTTTGTTTTGCTTTTATTTTTTATTTTAAATATACTGTAATAATAGATTTTCAGGAATAGAAACACTGCTTTCAAAATTTCAATATTGAAGAAATTTTTATAAATTTTTTTTAAAATTTGTCTAAAAATAATTTTTATTACAAAAAATTTAGTGTTTGTTGTACAGATGTTTTTCCGATTTAATTTGTTATAATATTTAGAACTAAAATTATTAATTAAATTTATAATTGCCTAATTACATAATTAACTTTTTTAAATTATTGAGTGTTACTGAATTTGTGATTATTCACTCAATTGAGTGGGATCATTAGATGTTCAGAAAATACTCAGACACTTATTTCAAATTTTAAAGACACTAACAAGATTTTGATAACATGCTTAGAAAAATATAAATTTGGTTCTTAGTAGAGGTTAATTTTATGCTATCTTTATTTCATGAAAAGTATGCGGTTCATGAAAATAATAAGAGTTTTCGTTTTAACACTCTAAGTTAAAATAAGAAATTTCACTCAAATTGATTGGTTACTTCTCTGTATATACTTAAAAATGTAGATTCAACCAGCAGTAAAAGTCCTATTGGTTACACTTGATTTACTCAAAAGATTAGATGACTTCTCGTTTTGTATTGATATACAAGGTGATTCAGTAATTTATGCTATAACATACTCCATCGTTTAGACTCTTAGAGCATCAAAATAGATACAATTTTCCTTTGAAATTGGGTGTTAAATTTCAAAGGTTTCTGGGATACAGCGATTTTTACGAATTTTCAGGGATTTTCAGTACGGATAAGTGCATTAATGTTGAATAGTCGACATGCGAAATACAAATTATATTATGTTGTCACATAATAACCAATATAGTTTGTACATGTTCAGATTGTACATGTATGCAAACGAAGTATATAATATACGTTTTTTACTACATAAACATCTGCTATATACGTACATATTTTGCACACTCTATTATTGTACAAGTATAAAATTTTTTTTAAACGTTTTAAAATTTATGTTCCTTTTAAATTTATAAGAAAGTTACGTATACGTAAACTTAAACATAATATCTACAAAAATATATGATACATATATAAAATATCTAATTGCATTAGTATTTTATATATATATGTATATTAAACAGGATATTTATTTTCAATTTATAAGAGATTATAATTTTAATATTTAGGATTTATTTTTAATTTAATAAAAGTTTCTTTCTTAAGTTTAATATAAAAAGAAACTGAATATAAATGAAAATATATTAATAAATATATATATATATATACATATTTACATTAGAATATAAAAAGCATATGGGTTACAGTATAAAAAAACTTACGTAACGTGTGTATACACGTGTTTCCAGTGGTGAACTATCGCGACTTTATTAAAATTTATATGTGTTTAAAAAGTATATTTGTGTCCTACAGTCACGAGAATCATTTTTTCATTTGAATATTTGCGTATATAAATCGGCAAGATATCAACGATATGGTAATGTTGCTATATACGTAATTGCTACAGCATTTTGTAATTATAATATTGTGATTTTATCACGATATAAATGTCGCAATAACAAACATTTTCTCAAAAAATATTTTTTTGCTTAATTTAAGATATGTGCCTTTTAAAATTAAAACAGAGCTTTTTCAATTTGATTTGATTACTCTAGATTTCTCCAAATTTTTGCAAGTCTCTTAATTTAGTCCTTCTAAATGTGCCAAAACACATGCATATGGTTTATAATTTTGTAATCACTGTTTCATTGTAAAACAAAAACTGCTTGATTGAAAAAGGCACCAAACAATTGCAAAACTAAAAAGTATATTAGAATCTAGGCAGACATGTAATATTTAGTTTGTCAACCACACTTTGGTAACAAATTAATTGCCGGTACTCTTAAGCAACTAAGCTATTTGAAATTATAAAATTTCAAGCAGTTTGTAAAAATTACAAGTAGCTTGATTGCTTAATTGCATGCGATCATTTGGTTATGTGTGTGCGCTAGAATTTAAAGCTACGGAATACAAATAAGCAATCAAACAGTTGTAAATCTAAAAATTACATGTCTAACTGCGACCTTTGACCCAATACTTAAAGTTAACTTCTTCAAAATTATTTTATGATTACGTCATTAAAATTCATCCCTGTATTTGCAGTCAGCATATTATGCAAAATATTTTCAATTTAAAATATTTTAATAAAGAAATTAAGAGGATTTATGTCAAAATAAAATAATTTAATCTTTGATTTATTATTTTAAACATATTTACTTTAGTTATATGACAAACAAACGCATATATTTCTATAACAAAATGGTGTTATACAGAAAATGAAGAAAAACATTATTAAAACTTTTTTTAATGTTAAATTTTATTATGCAACTTTATATTCTTGGAATTGATTGAGTTATTCACGAAATTGTTTTTTTTAGAAAAGCTAAATAAAACTAGATTCGTAAAAAGGGATAATTCATTAATTAATTAGAAAATCTATTTGATATACAAATAAATATATACACATAAATACTGTTGTATACCTAAACAAACTTAACCAAACAGGATTGATTAGCCTATTATAATTTGTAAGATTAAGAATTTTACTAAGTAACTAACTGAGTAACTAATCAATTATTTAATAGAAAAATCCAAATAAATTAAACTTCTGTAACATTAACATTATACAGATAAATACAAATTAGTAATCTATAAAAAATGCTGTTTTATACTCTTGAGTCTTGCATAGTATATAGGTGTAATATGCTGTGCTAACTAATAAATTATACCTAAATTACAATTGTACATCTAAGATATAATTGGCGTTCAATCTAACTGCCTTAAGTCTTAAGTCATTAATATATTATTAATATCATATATTTTTGTACTTACATCAATATGAAACTAAATAGAAATAAGAACGAAAGTTCTTTTAACTTTAAAAGCACGCATTAACTATGAGTTATAGCCAATAGTTTTTAAAGAAAAAAAAATATTATTTTTGGTCGAGACATTTTCTATGTTAACCTTTATACGATACAAAAGGACCATGACGAGTACGTGTTTCGTCCAGGCACGTATAAAAGCAAAAATTATATTTATGCTATTTCTAATATCTAAACATTTCATTTCTATTCTCAAAAAACAAAAGTCATTAATTTTAAATTTATAGTGAAAGTTAATAAGAAATAAGTTAATTTTTATTTTAAGAATTGAAAACATCACATTTCTTAAACTCTTATTTTTTCGTTTAAACTTAATAATAATTACAATTTTAAATTATGTGACATCCTAAAATTACTGAACATTTTTGTTTTTTATATGCCACCCAAAACTTTGGAATGGCCGCGCTTTTTATGATTCCTTTGAAAAATCTAATAAACAAAAGGTTAAATAAGTTAAGGAAATATTTTTATTTAAAATTTTGTGTGAACACAAATTTTACTCATTTTTGGTCTTCTATCCAACGGTATATGAATCCTAACTGTCGGTGAATCACCTTGAATATATAACAAGCAAATGTAAAATCAAATTGCCAAATATTATGAGGGAACAAATGAACTAAATATTATGAGAGAAATGGAAGTTTTAAATTAAATAAGTTTTAATCGAGCGTGTTAAAAAAAAATTTCATTCTGAGATGATGTTGATATAGGTACCCCAAAAAAATCCTTGTTTTAAGTAATGAACACATTGTTATGGTATACTTTTGCATATAATGTGTACACGTTTTATTAATATCTATAATTGAAAATACGAAATTTTTGTCGAGTAAATTCTTTTACAAAAATTTATTCTACGAAAAACCGATAGAAATATTTTATAGAAATTGATAATGAATAAATAATTATAAATGGATCACTTTCTTTTTGGTTTTGTGAATTGCTATTACAATGCGTCTATTATACATCACACAATAATGAGCAAAATAAAAAGTGGATTACATGTTATATTTGCTTAATCTCAGAAAAATTCTGATAGCTGACATTTTTAAAATATCCAATAATTTATTCTTTATATTTTATTTTAATCGCTCAATTCACAGATTTAATAAAATAAGGCCCATTATTAATATTTTAATAAAATAGGCCCATTACAAAAGAACTGTAAGTCCCCATGAGAAGGTTGAATTTTAAATAAAACTTTGACTATTAAGAGAAAAATTTCTTAAATGAAAATAAACAAGAAAATAGAAATTAAAAATTTCCCTTGTTTTTTCAACTTTTAAGGAAATTTATATTTAAGCCTTAAAAGTAAAGTCAATTACTTATATTCAAAAACTTTAAAGAGATACAATATTTGCAAGAACGTTAAAATGTGAATAATTAAAACTTTCAATACAATACTGAGGGTTGTCCAAGTTTTACAGTTTCACTAAAAGATTGTTGTTACATAGATTTATTTACATCTAATACGATGTAATATACGATACTAGTATAAAATGTTTTCACTAATATACCATGAATTTCGAAAGCAATGAATCAATATACAATTTTGTTTTTTATAAGTCTTATTGTTTCTGCTCTCATATTTATGATAGTTAATATAAATATATACTGACCTTAATACCGATTCCTTCCATCGTATATTCTCATTAGAAAGTCCGTTGACAAGACGATGTGCTAAATCGATCGTAAATGCAGTTTTATCAGCTTCCAGTTGGCATCGCTGTTTTTCTTCTAATGCTGAACTAAATTCTGATTGAATTTGTGAAAGTTTTTTTTCAAGATTACAAATTTTCTCTTTTAAATAACTTAAACGTTCACGTGCTTCTTGTAATTCCTCTTGTGAATCTTCAAGTGCTTTTTGTTTCGGTCCAACAATTTGAAATATTTCATGATAACGATGAAGATTAATTACCCAAGCACAAAGACCAGCAGCAGCAACAGATTTTTGAACAATTTTATCTGGATTAAATTCAGGATCCTTTCAAAAATAAAAATAAAAAATCTTTTGAAAATAGTTCAAGTAGAAAGTTTAAAAAAAAATACAGAAACAAAAAAATAGCTACAATATTTTTTTGAAATTTTAAATTCAATTAGAAAAAATATTTAATTAGAAAATTTTTAAAATAGTTTCACACCAAAATCTAAGCTTTTAATGTTGATTAAAATGGTTTTCTTTTTCAAAAAGTTGAAATATTTTAAATTGATATGAATATATCCACTTACTTTTTAAAAACTTGAAATTAAAAACTCAAAATTGCACAAATATTATTAAATTTGATTAAAATAGTTTGTGAATTAAATAAAATTTTTATGTTGTTAAAATATTCAAGTCCAAAATAAGTAGAAACTAATTTTTTGTTTTTAATAATCTAAAAATTCTTTGTACATTTCCATAATATTTTTAAATGGTTTTAAATTTCAATGGAATTGATATGGTGAATATCATCCTCTTGACTAATTCTGTGGAATGCAATGGAATTAAAATGGAGCACATAATTTCAAAGAATTTAGTATATTTAAATTCATCCGGCCACTCAACCCTTAAAATTAATCAGAAATTTTGAATATTTCGTTATATCATCTAGGAATAAAATCATAAAATTTAGTATTATTATTATATGTAGCACAACTTTTCTATAAGTCGAAAATAAGATCGAATTAACATTGTTTGAATACGGGGAAAACAATCTTCAAATAACAGATATTTGAAAAAGTAGAATGTTTTAGTACAAATATACCGCAATATTTTAATTTCATAACCGTACATTTCGGAATTTTACAAGTGCATATTATGCTGTATATATGTTGCATATATGTAACATTCATAATACATACACTTATACGCTACCAGAACAACTACCTCGATCACGTCTAATTTCGAACATACGGGTATTAAAATTAAATCATGAATCTATAAAAATTGAATGTATGTTTAATTTTAATTCCACATAAAATTATTACATATATGCAAAAAAAAAAATTAAAATTTTCTACTAAAAAATTCACTATCCTCAATTTTAAATTACTTTTAAATAATCCTGTAATGCTTCTATTACATTCGGATGTATATTATCTTTATCATAATTTACTAAATCATTTAAAAATTGATCAACTTTAACCATCATTAATTTTGCAGCTTTCCAACTACGATCTTTTGGTATACGTCCATTTAATGCAAATAATACCATTACAGCAGCACATACATTTACAACAGCTTTTGGTGGTGAACCAAATGATTTTAATTCCGTCAAATTATTTTTATTTAATGTATCTAAAGCTTCATGTGCTGCAACTAAAGCTGGTTCAGCTCTACGTAAATCTTCTTCACATAATTGAGTTTTTATACAAACATCTTCTTCAATTATTCTAACACGTTGTTCTTCTTCGTATGCTGCAAATTTTTCTTTTTTAACTTTTTCATTTTCAGCTCCAACAATAACTATAAGATTATCAGCTGCATCATTCTTTGCATTCAATTCAATTTCTTGAATAGCTAGTTGTTTCTTACAAAAAAGAAAAAACAAAATAAAATAAGGTAAAAAAATTTAAATTTTATTAACTTTAAAAAAATCTATTTTTTTTTTCTGTTATACATCATTTTTACATAGCAAAAGAAACTCCTAACAGAACAACTTTTAAAATCAAGGAAGGGAAATGCATAATTCATAACTGTTTTTTATAATTTTGCCTTCTCTTCTTTTTCTTTGTGTTGTTATTCTGGTGCGATAATAAATTTGACAATTTAAAGACGGAATAAAATAAAAGGTTTTAAAATTAATTTAATGAAAAATGAATTTATGAAAATTTTTTCGAAGTAACTTTTTTAGTATACTGAGTAGGTATGTATATATTGGACACACATTCATTTAAAGAGTTTTTTTCTCTCAAACTATGTATAAAATTTGCATTTTAGATTTCTAAATTTCGATTATGAAACAAGAAAATTTATAATTGTGAGACCTCAATTATGACGAATCAATTTGGAAAAATTTTAATTTTTCTGAAAAAAATTAAAATATTTGGCAATTTATACAGCGGGGAACGTCAAACGAACTCATACCACTTCTATTCCATACACTGAAATTCGTATGACGATTAAAGTAAGTGGAGAAAATGTGGTCACTGAATTTTTTTTTATGAGGAGTGATTTAACATTTTTAATATTTATTGGTTAACTCTGTGCATATGTTGTGTGTGAAAGGCAATTAATGAATTTAAAAATAAATACTTGAATTACTAATTGAATTTTTGAAGAAAATATATTTTAATTTCATATACTAAAATTAGGTAAAAGGTACTTAAAAATAAGAAAACGAACGGCAGAAAAAACCCAAAAACACAACACAATTCTTTAGGTTTTTAATGAAAAAGTTGGAGTCTCATAGTGATAACACATTTAGTTCGTTTTTGAAATTAGAAATTCTACGGTAGCCCAAACCTAGAAGACTTGTTTTTGACATTACCATATTACTAAAAACTTAACAGCCGTTACGTTCTTTGGTTTTAATCTACATAATTAATTGTTTTTATATTTATTATTTTTTATTTAAAAAGGTGTTTATGAGTTGACCTTATATTTAAATTTTTAGCCCTCTTTTTTTCAGATAATACACATTTACTTTTGCTTTTTCGATCATTCTAATTTTAAAGAACTTGAAAAATTAAATTTGAATTAAAAAAATTTATGAAAGAATAATAATGAAAACGTTATTAATACACAAACCCTGCCCACTGTCCCCGTTACTCGTACAGGGTACATGTTTTTCTTTTACAGGGCACATGTTTTTCCACCAACAAAATGGAATGTTCAAAATCTATACAGTATCCTAACAATGAATAATAAATAAAAACATTTTAAAATCTAACCAGAATTAATATTTTTTCTGGAAATTAATTGGAAATTCAAATTGATTTTATTTGATGAAAAGAAAAATTTTGATCAATCAATTATAATTTATGAAATAGTAATTTGCTCCAGAAGAAAATATGTTTGAATAAAAAAAGAAATTTTCTGATGCACCGCAAATTTACTATAAATGATTTATTGGTTCATTTGCTATAAAGAAAAAAAAAAAATGTCATTTGAATAAAAGGGCTTTCAAATCTGACATTGCATGCATAAATAATTTGATTCATTATCTATTCAAACTACTGTAGACAGATATTTTTTTTTCTCTAAAAATTTAAGAAAATATTCAAAGATATTTTATTTACACATAACACAAGTGTGCAGCAGTTTCGTTAAGATACTACTATGTATAGCTTAAAACTTTTGTATGTGAGTAGAATTGTAATTAATTTATATTTTATCAAAAAGCATTTTTAAAATTAACCAGAAGCTATTTTCCCTTTTTAACTTTTTAGTATATAAAAATATTTAAAATTTAGTATATAAAAATAATGTTTTATTTTTTATTACTAGTTAGGTTTAGCTACAATCTTAGAAGATTTTATGTAGAACTATTTTAACCAATCTCAATACTTTGACTTCTAGTAACTTCTTAATCTAGCATATAATAGGTTATTCCAATGAGCATTATCCTTTCAAAATAATATCAATATTGTACAAAGTCACAAACAACACTATTCAAAATTTTAACAATTTTGAATAAATTTTAAAATTAGTTCCAAAAAACGTAAAACTTTTAACCTGAGCTAAATTAACTTCAATTAAAAACCGCGAGTATTTTGTTCAAAATTATCGATACTATTATCTTTGAATAAGAATATTATCGTTAAATATTGAATTGTTAAGCTCAAGCATTTATAATATGTACATGTAATAATCATCTCATCAATCATAACTAGAAAACCATAATCAGAAAATATTTATAGTTACCTTTAACATTTCAACTTGAATTGCACACTCTGCTAATTTCGACATACCAGTTTCCAATCTTGTTATCTTTTTTGTAAATTCATCAGATTTATTTTTTAGCAATTTTATATACAATGATATATATTCTAAAAATGTTTTTGGTGTTGTATAATTAAATCTTTTTTCATTTTGAAAATAAATTTTCGAAATCTGATTAACTGTGCCATGAACATATGCCATAAAACATCCAATTTGGTCTACAACTTCACCCTGAAAAAAAAAACCAAACTTAGGTATGGATAAGAAAATATGTATATGTAAAAAATATAAAAATATGTGCATGTGGACGTATGTATATATGGAGTAAGTAATAGTTTTAATTTATCAATATTATATTATGTAGGAGTGTTGATATATATACTTTACATATATGTACAATAGTAGAATTAACAAAAAGAAAAAGTAAATATTATTGTCATAAGAAAAACAAAAAAATTAGAAACAATCCAAATGAAAATCTGAAAAATGATTTGATAGTAAAGTCACAGGGAATGGAAATACAAAGAAAAGAAAAACTATTTCCAAAATGAAATATAAAAACTTTTTACATTCACAACTAAATTAAAACAAAAAAAAAAAGACAATTTATACACGGAAATAAAAATAAATTGAAAAATATCTAGGGAAAATTCAATAGAAAATCATCATCAAGTTATTGGAGAAATGAAATAAGAGCATTAGTGAAATTATCTGTTCTACACTCTAATTTTGTTATATTCTTATACAAGCACAATAATTTTAGTTTTAGCTCATTCTACACTTTAAAAAAACCTAAAAAATAGTGGGTCATACAAGATGTTTCCACGTTGAAACTTTATTATTCCACAATTTCTTTTTGATAATTTTCCATTTCTACAACATATACGTTAATGTGTTGGTCTTATAAAATAGAAGCGTAATAGTTTGAATTATAACGAAATATTGATCATTAATATATTCGTAATAGAGCATGCCAAATTAGATTTTATAGTTTGGAAATTGATTTTCGTCACATTTTTCTCCTATACAACAAGCCGAGCCTCTATTTGTATTAAAATTTTAACTATATTTGTAAATATTCATGAATATACTTTCTTATCATAGTTCAATTTCTTTCTTCCTTTTAAATTAAAACTGTACAAAATGGGCAAAATATCAATTTTCGGTTAATTAATTAACATTCATTAATTAGCAATCAATCTAGTTCAATTTTTCAAATTGTTGATTTTATATTCCACCTATATATGCAAAATTATATATATGTAATAAGAACTAATATTCATAATTTGACTTAATTCTTTTGACTTAATTTTACAAACTATGCAATAAGGGAAGTAAAAAATTTGTGTTTTCACATTAATAATTACTCATAATTCGACTACATCGTGCTTCGGTCGAAATATTTATTGCTGTACTTAATTGTACGATGTGACAATTTATTACGATGTGAAAAGGATTTTTCATTTTTGAGCCTATTATCTAAGAAAACGACTCTCGGAATTTATTGAAATGAGAATATGAGTTGTATGTGTTAACATAACTACTTGATTATCTTTTCAGGAAAATCGGGTTGCACCAATAAAGCAATACTAAAAATTAAATTGAAAAATCAAAAAAAAAAAGTATGTATTTCAGTAATACTTTTAAAATATTCTTATAAAATCAAAATAACTAAAGTATTTGAAATATTTTAAAGTGATACACTGTCTAAAATAATAAAATTTACAATTTTATTTTTTATATACAAAACATAAAAACTATACATATTAATATATTTTTATAAATAATATAAACTTACCGGTAGAACATCAATTTCAGATAAAAACTTTTTCGATACAGATTCTAATGCTGTTTTTGGCCATTCATGAAACCAATCAATACTTGTACGACTAATAATAGCCGGAAATTTTCTAACTCTAACTCTTAATGTTGTACCAACTGGTGAAAAACATAAAACTGTTTTTAATAGACGACGAACTTTTTCAATAAAAAATTTCCAACAATTATCTTTTGTATCAAGTGTACCATTTTGTTTAACTTCATTTCTTATACCATTTATAATTGTTTCAAATTGATCATCCGTAAATAGTTCGGGTATTTCACCTGATGCTAGCATATCATTTACTAACATTAAAATTGATTCATCTGGTATTTGTGCATCCGATATTAAAAATACTGATGCAACATTTTTTAAACCAACTTTTGTATATAAATTTGCTAATTCATTTTTCATATCTAATATTGTATAACCACGTTTTATTTGAATTTGAAATACATTCAATGATGATATATAAGATGCTAAACGTGCCAATGTTTGTTTACCTGAACCACCAACACCAATTAGTAATGCATTACTACGTGGATTTTCAAGGATTCTATTTATTCTACAAAAGATTATATTCACCGACAATAGAAAATAATAATAGTAAATAAAAATAAGCAATATTAGATTATTTGAAAATTTTATTACAAAAATATTTATATATTTATACAAAGTTATAGAAGAAATTTAATCTTAAATCAATTAAAAGTTTTTTGGAAATTATATATATATATATATTTATATACTATAATGTAAACCACATATACAACAATTTAATATTCAACAAAAATGAAAAATTTTTGTTTTTACCTATACATGGGTTAAAAGTTTTAAAAACTTGTCCTAAAATGAAAACTAAAATAAATTGAAGAAAAAATAATTGAATTTGCAAAATTTATTCTCTACATTAATTTCTTATATTGCACTACAATTTTAGTCATTAGTTCAATATTAAATAAAATATGAGATTTATTTAAAATATGTAAATTAAAGAATTTTAAAATTGATGAGGTAGAAACACAAATTGCTTTTGCAAAAAAAACATAAAAATCTTGATTATTGTTTTTAAGCAATAAAATTGAGAAAATTTTCATTTAAAAAGTTATTCTTTAACCGGAATATCAGGTGTCAAAAAAACTAACTTAGTCGAATTAACAGGAAAAATCTAGCAAATTGAATTAAAACCTGCTTCAATACAATTTTATAGAAATTCAAAGAATTGTAATAATTATTTCAATAATTGGAAGTTTTAAATTAACCAACCAAATTTAATTTAATTTAGAGTAATATTGGTGAAAACCCGCTAATATCTATTAGCAACAATTGATAAATTCTTGTTTTGGAAAAGATTTATTTAAAATAAATACGATTATTAAATATACGACTAAAATAAGACACATAGTAAAATTGGTAATAAATTTTAATTAAAATTTTTAAAACACAATGTTCGTTTGAGCACTTCGACACAAAAATTTCCAAAAAATTGCCTTTAGAAAAATTCCCTGATTGAAATAAGAAAAAATTGTTAAAAATTTATAAGAGTTTTTGAAGTGATTCTATCAAATAAATGGTAAGAGCTAGAATAAGAGGAGCTAAGACGATGGTCAAAAAGGAGATAATTTGTTGTAAACTATTTTTTACGACCTAAAAAAATTTATTATATCGAAATTGATTATATCGAATTTTACTCTTCATAATTGGAACTAGAGGAGTTCTGTATAGGATTAAAAAAAATACCTACGCCTAATGAAATAAAAGGAATTATTATATTACAATATTCCGTTACAGTCACATTGATACATTTACTACTTATAGCATTTTCTAATATTTCTCGCAATTTATTTTAAGTTTTGATGAATAAAATTATACATTTTGTTTAATGGACTACACAAAGTTGTAGAAATAAGTAGTAAAGTAAATATCCGAAAATCATAAACCTATTTTTTTTTGGATTCAAAATTTCTTATTTATATTTTGTATGCGGTAAAACTTGTTCTTAACTCAAAGTATCTTTAAATACATATTGATTTTATTATCTTTAAACAAAACTAAAAACCAATTAAATATTTAACTTGCCTGCAAACATGTAGCATTGCATCTTCAAACATTACCAAATTCATATAACCAACAATTTCATTATAACTATTTTGTGCATCTATTAATAATTCATATAACGTATTCCAATTTTTAATAGGCATATATTTTTGATCTAATAATGATTGGGCAAAGTTACAATATATAAGTGGTTCATTGAATACATAATCTTCATCAAAATCTTCAATATCCTTTTTAAATATATCACGGCATATTGAACGGAATGCTTTAATATCATGATGGTCAGCTAATTTATCGTGATATACACGAAATGCTTCATGTACATAAAATCGTATTAAATCCATTGGTTTTTGACATGTTAGTCCATTAGAATTCATTAGTCCTTGAAAAATATTACTCATATCTCTTAAATTGAAAATATAATGAAATTTAACTGCTGTTGGTAAAAATGCTGATTCAATACGTCTATGTAATGCTACACCAACAGAGCATAAAACATGATTAATTGATTTTATTTCTTTTGTAAATGAATTTTGAAAATTTTCTAAATGTTGTTCTAATATTGTTGAAAATATATGTATTAAAGTTTCTTCATTTGGGCTATTAACAGTAAATATACAAAAATGACGTTGAAGTCTTGGATCAATTGTAAATGAACCGGCTGTCGGATTCATACTAACAGCAAATTGACAATTACGTATTTCTTTCAATGTTAATTTATTACGATCATACCATTGATGATAATCCATAAATTGTCGTATAACTGTATGTGATTGTACTGTACCATATGAATCAACTTCGGGCATATTTAAATCACTTATATAATAAATTAAACGTTTATTACCAGTTGGTGCATAAAATCGTCCAGATTTTTTTTCTAATGGATAATCTAATATTTTTTGAAATATATCTGAATTTGTATAATAATTAAAATTTGCTGTTCTAATATCAATTCTACCATCATATGAATTGAATATTTCTCGATAAATTGAATATTTGCCACAACCAGATCCTCCAACTAACATAACGGGATGATGTTTTTTTAAAAGTTTTTTTACAAAATAAGTTAACCGACATGTTTCTATTGTAGGTACCAAAACATTCTGCAAATTAAAATTAAATATTTAAGTATGTTAAGATGATTGCAAGAAAACATTCGGAATTTATGATATTTTTGCAAAATAAAAACATTTAAAACAAACCAATTAAATAATTCAATTAAAAAATTTTAAATTTTGAATTCACTACAAAATAATTTTCTTCTTCAGGGTTTTTTTTTCCTATAAAAATGTGATTTTTTGGCAAAGCAAACACTTAATAACTTTTTCTTTTCTTACTTCTTTCATTTTGTTGAAATTTCTTATTGGAACTAGAAATTCTTAGTTCTAGAAAATTAGTTTCTTCCTTTAGGCTTTTTAGATCATTTTTAAGATTTGAAAAATTATTTATGCTTGACTTCAGTTTGGAAAATTTTTGTAATTTCTAAATTTTTTAATATCGACAGAAATTTTCAATTATATAATATTTTTTTTAATAAATACAGTACAATATTTAAATAAAAAAAGATATATATTTAATTTACCTGTAGTGGCAATTCAGGATCTAATTCAAATTTTTGTATTAAATTTTCCCATAATTTAAATTTATAACATTCTTGATCCAAGTAAAAATCAAATATAGTACCATCATTTGGAAATTTAATATCTTTATATTCCATTATCCACCATTTATGAAATTCTCTACGCCAATCAATCAAGTGATCCTGATCGGATAAGCTAGAGCCAAATCCCCAAATGGTTACAAAAACAAAAATTATTTCTAAATTTTTTTCTAAAAATTCCGGTTTTATATTATGCCCATCTAACATATATTCTAATAAAAAACAGGTGAGTTGAATCATTGATATATCACTGATTGGGGTTATTTTCTTAAAATAGTCGATTTTTTTAATCAAATTGGGAAAATATTTTTCAAATAATGTTGTTAGTATTCCTCTTTCGATGATATTCTCTCGGGTTTCAACCCATGATGAAACATAACTACATATTATAAAAGAAGAATATATGTATAAGAAAAACAAACAAAAAAATTAAAGTAAATAAAGTTGAAATTCTGTTTTAACTTATTCGTTTTTTTTTTTTTTGTATTTTTTTCTTCATAAGGATATAAAATGAATATATTTTGTGTAAATGTACATTATATGAGTAAAATTTTATAAAACATTTATTTTCAAAAGGATTACAATTTTAAAGATATATAAGGACTAAAAATGTATATAGGTATGTTATGTATGTATATTTATTTTATGCAAAACAATATAAGTAGAATTGAATTGAGCAAAACAATATAAATCGCATATCTAAGTAGGTCTTAGAGATCAATAAACCTTTAAAAATTCATACATTATTTTACTGTTTCATTTATATTTATAATAGGTATATTTTAGATTTTTTTTGCATTAACTAAATTAGACTAAGGTCAAAGTTCGTAAAAAGGATAATAGAAGGTGACATAAATAAAGTTTGAAATCTCAAGCATCACTAAAAATGTAAACATAGGTACATTCATATATTGTGAATTTATAGTGTGAAAAATTTAGGTTAGCATAATATTTATGGTACATCATTATAAAAATTGGGATATTATTCTCAATAATCATATTAAAGTGATGTTGATTAATTTTTGGAAATTACTATGTTTCTTCTTATTGAGTTTTAAAGTAGTCATTTATTATTTAAAATTTAATAAACTTAAATGATTCAATACATTTCTTTGAAATGAAAAAGTAGATTAGGAAAAGATTTCGGATCTAGCAAAACATTAAAATGTTCATTTCTCTAAACGCAGAGTGTCCAATGATTTAAGCAAAAAATTTTACAAAAACATATACACACGGCTGAGTGCCTGGTCTTATTGCATATTTTTATAAGAAGCTCTCATAGTAAAATCTTAGGTTTTTAAATTTTAAATTTTGGAAACTTTTTTATATATATAACGTTTTTATATATAATATACTTAGCATGATATAAAATTTAACTTACGGAAACCACCCTAAATCTTGTGGATTAATATATAAAATACCAGCTCTAGATACAGTTGCTGGTGTTGCTGATTTTAAATGACCAACTTCAAATAATAACCGCATATCCTTTTTTAATGCAATACGCTCATTACTCGCTAATGTTAACACTTTATTATCGTCCATTAATGTATTTAAACTTTCAATCCACATTGGATCAATGTCCCCGTCTAAAATTATCCATTTTGGATTATCATCTTGAATATTAGCTTGATCTCTAATTATTGATGAAAATAAACCATCTTTCCATTCTCTTGTTGTTGCATTCACCACACCAAAAAGTTCATCATTACTTAATGCTTTCGGATTCAATACACTATAATGTGGCTTTTTCTTTTGATATTTAAATGTTGCTAATAATGATTGCCATATTCTTGTTTTTCCAGTACCAGCATTACCAACAATAAAAACTGAGTGACGTACACTTAAAAGTTCTTGTAATTGAACTATTTTTAAAATAAAATTTTCCTCTGGTTGTAATTTAATTTCACTAACTGCTTTTCTTATTGTTCTTTCAAAATCCAATAAACGTTTTCTTGGAACATCAAGTGCTGGAAATAAATCACCTACTAAACCAACAAATATTGATATATCCTCTGTTACTATTTTTGGTATATTAAAATCACGTAATGCTCTCATTAATACTTGATCTTCTGGACGATTTGGATCACCACGTTTTAATGCACCAGCAACAACTAAAACAGATTTTATTGCTCTTAAACCCCAATCATAATGATCTTGTTTTGATAATAATTCTTTGCATAATGTATATAATGTTATAAATTTTCTAGCTAATAGACGAGCATTTTGAAAACCTTCCGCTACTAACATTATTTCACATATTAATGCAAAATCAGGTACAATCATTGCACATGGACGAAATAATGTTTTCAGATTCTCAGGTAATTCAGTGCGACCAGCATAACCAGGGTTCATGGTAATAAAAATTCCAACTGATGATACCAAAGAGATTTCTTCGCCCATAAAAAGAAATTTTGTTTTCAGTGACTGAAAAGTGAAGAAAAAAAATATTATAAATATTATAGTTCAATAAAACTGTTATAAAAATCCATAAAATGATTTTCTTGGTTGAATACACTTTAATAAATATTTTATAAAATTTTCTTGTACAGATTAAGCAATTATTTTTATACTTCGTTAAAGAAAATCAAAAATGTTAAATGCTAAAAAAATATAACAGAAAATTTAAGTTTTGCTACATGTATTTGAGGATCATAAGTCCAAAATTTGGAAATAATGAGAATTAACTTTGATTTGAATAACTTAAAGTAATTGTCATAAAGAAAAGTAGAAATAAAAAGAAATTTATTTTAGTAAAATATTTAAGTCCGGCAATTGTTTATTAAATATTAAAAAATATGTGAGCCGAAACAGTTACTGGGATCAATAGAGAGAAGCTAGCAAGAATAATCTTTTTCGAAATATTTACGATCTTTCAAAAAATAGTTTAATGCCATCGCCAAGGCCAGCCCTGAAATCTTCTTTTAAAACTTTTAATAACCCGACAAGAGTAATTATACAAGATTTTATTGATTTATTTCTATGTGTTTCAATTTTGAGATTATTTCACTTTCAACTTAGTTACTTCCTATTAATGGTTGATTTTTTCACTTTTTTAAATTTTACTATATGTTCTTTTAGGTTCAATCTTTTAATCCGATCATTTCAAAAATAAATCTGTTTCAGTATTAAGATTTTAACTGGATTACAATGTTATTAAAATACAGATTGAAGAATCAAAAATGATAATTTAAGGATTTTAATTGCTGTTATGTTAGTTAAAAAAAAATTAAAAAACAATTTACGAAATATTCTAAAATCCCTCTCAAACACATAGAAGTAGTATTCCAATATTCTTGTGACACTTTTCCAGATTTATGCAAAATAATCCTTTATTCCGAAAATAAAAATTGAAGCAAACACAAATCTTACCAGATTTATGTATGTTTATAGTAGTATTTACACACGACTGAAAGTTAAAACTAAAAAAAAAAAATCATTTTTACTTTTTTCCAAAATTTTTGATTGTTGCATTTTTTTTTACCTTTATCGCATCTTGAATTGTTTTAACTTGAACAGCTATCACAGATAGAACCTCAACTGAAATTCTATTAAATTCATCAAAACATCCCCATGCACCAGTTTGTGCAAGTCCTTTATAAATATTTCCACATGATTTGTAATCCATTTGTTCAGAACAGTTGAATACGTACACCATTACACCTAAAGCTCTACCCAAATCTTTTGTTGTTTCCGTTTTACCTGTACCAGCTGGCCCAGCAGGTGCACCACCCATCACTAGATGCAATGACTTTAGATATTTGAAAATAGTGTATTAAAAGAATAAACAAAATATAAAAGTGACATTTGTAAAAATGATAAAAAAAGAAAAAAAATTGTTAGATAAGGTACGAGTATAAAAACAGAAAGAATAAATTTTTTGCTTTTATTTTTAGGTTAACCTTTTCAATTATAAAGTTGTTCATTTGTATTGGTATATTGTGGAATAAAAATAACTGCAAAAACGATGTAGTAAATTAAAAGGGTTTTACATTTTTTGTTTGCTTTTCGTTTTTCTGTTTTTTTGTGCACTAGAAATATTTACGATTTAAAATTTACTATTTTTACAGTTAGTATTTATCTCTTTTATATTGTATGTATAAGGTATTGTACGTATAACGTAGGTGTAAACATATGTACCTATATAAATATTATTACTCTCTTAATCTTTATGGAGTATATTGCTGTATATTGTACATTATTACAGGTTGAAGTTCATTTTAATTTAAAAATTAAAATTAGAATCTTAATGAGATAAAACCAAATTTAAAATACAAAAAAAACTTTATGCACTTCCATATTATAGATGTTCGTTAGTAAGTTGATTATTTTTTCCAGAGATACAAAAAATTAAAAGTGTTTATCACTTTTGGAATAGGGTCAACCCGCATTTCAAACTTTAATTATTTTATTTCACGTCATGAATACATAATTCTGAAAAATATAAACAAAAACCGTTTTAAAATTGGTTTAAAAAAAATCTTAAGTTCGACGATACCACGAATAATTACATGTGTACCAATAAGGAAAGGTTAGAATTAGTCGTTTCTAGTAAATTAACTTTTTAGTATTTATGCGTATCTAGTTTATTATGATTTTAAAAATTGTTCAACTTAAACCATTTATTTCCAGATTATCTCAAATAAATACAAAGAGTTCATGTGTTAGTGTATCTCGATTTCGTGTTAAGTTTACTTATTACATTAGTCCCGTAGAAATAACATTACTAATTTCTACAGATTAACATTAGTTAACTCGGTTTTATAATACTATCTAGGAGACAAGCATCTAGGAAAAGACTTCATCATTGCTAAGATCGCCGGGTGCGATTTATGAAAGTTTGTTGTAAAAATATCCAAATAAATTTCATTTGCTAATATTACTATTTAGCAAGCCTCAATAGCAAGGTTTTTAAGTTATGATATGATTTATTAACCGACCTTTGTTATTAAAGAAAATTAAAGACAATATTTAAAATTTCTGCCAAAATTTTGTCACATTTTTATTGTGAGTTTCGCAGATAAAATTTTTTTTTTTCAATTCATAATTCAACGCTTTCTTTTCTTTTTTGTGTTTTCAATGCAAATGGATATTAAGGATTCTATAATAAAATTTTAAAGATTTTTTATTTATAAATTAATATAATTTTTTTCAACTACAGCCTTTTCCAACAATAGACAAAGTTTTCTGTTCTTTGCTCATCCTATTTCCGATTTAATATTATATTGTAATTATTTCCTGTTTATTTTTAGAGTTACAAAGTTTTTCGCAAATATGTATGTATACACAGTATATATATAATGTATAACGCACGAAAATAAAAAGGAAATTAATTTGCAATAGACTGTTATTCTATTAACAATTTATTCTAACTAATCGATACTTTATTAAAATTCTATTTGAATAATAAAATTATCAGATTTGAGTAAACTTTGGAAAAGTTTTTTTATTTGAAATTTTCGAAAAAATAAAATTAAAATTTCTCTTATTGAACGTAGATCTAGATGTTAAACAATAAGTGAAAGTTCCCAAATAAAATTGAAGATTATTCTCAAATCGTTCTCAGATCTCAAAATTTAGATTTTTGTTTTTAAAATTTTATTTAAATGAAATATTTATAAATTAACTTTCATACTTTTTAAATTGTTCAGTTTTATTGCACGGAGAGGTAATGTAAGATTATCAGTTTTAGTAATATTTAAAAATAAAGTAGCTTTGCTAGCTTGAATCATGTAAATTTAACATTAATACTGATAATATTTCACTTATAATAGCATCATTCAAATTTTCAAGTATTTGAAAATCTTGAAAATTTAATAGCATCTATAAATTTTCAAGATTTCAATGCATATTTTATTAAACATTCTAAATCTTTCATCCACTTTAAAAAATAATGTTTCAGTATGCTAACGAACTAAAGTCAAAAACTCACTATACTCTTAATATTCGTATTGCCATACCTTCCATTTTCATATGAAAAAAAATCGAAAGAAATTTTGTTATTTGAGAAAGATCATTATTCCTTTTTTTGTAATTCTGGTAGTGTTTAGATATTTTTAATATTTTCCTGTGACCTTTTTTTTTATATTTCCATTACTTCCTTATTCTCAGTGTCATTTTTAGGTTTGCCTCATTTGGCGAATATCATAATATTATTATCAACTATATTTAGAATTCAATGGAAGTTCAAAAAGGAACAGAAAAGAAAAAAAAATCTGATGTGGTCAGTACATAACCGACTTCAATGTTTATTAGCTTTTGGTTAACGTACCTATAGCAAAATGTAAATTTGGATTTTAGTAAAATGTAATTTTGTCAGTTAATTTCGGTAACAACTACAACTCACATACTAAATTTTAGGAAATTTGATCAATTACTTCCGTAGATGTGATAAAAAAATATAAAATAGGCCCCTAATTACGATTGCTTCGGACAAACTTGAGATACGCGGGCTCACACGCAGACTGGCAGACAAACGGATAGACCAACAGGCCGACATCTCTCTAAAATAGTTTATTTAAGCTTCCCATCGAAAGCTTGACATCCGAAATTTGGTGCCATCACATCACCTCCCATATTTTATGCAATGCGGCTGGTAAAAAAATATTAATATTATATAAATTTTATTTTTCTTTTTTTTTAAATTTTAATTTTACTTAAAAATGGAATAGCAAATGGAAACATGAAATAAATAAATAAACAAAAGAAAATACAAAAGAAGAAAAACAAAGATGAAAGACAGGAGCCCAATCGAAACGTAATAAAAATAAAGTTATAACAATAAGGATATCCGGGAAAAAATTATTGAATAATTTTTTCACAGTTTATGTCGCCGGACTTAAATAAAATTTAATAAATTTGTATATTTGATACATGTATACGTATACATATGCGTATGTACATATGTAAATTTATTAACTTTGAGTGGAAAGAAAAAATGTTTAAATTTGATTTTACATTATGTATGATTACAAAATATTATGGTAATAAATATAGGCAAGATGTTATTAAACGATTTTATACTAAAATATTGAAGTAATTAAAAAACAGTGAAGCAATCTGGTATTCTTGGAATATTGCACTAAAGTGTTCGATGAAAATGCGATTGGAATTTTGCATTAGTAAAGAAAATAATATTTAGAAAACTCAAAATTTACTTGTACTTTTTATGTACTACTCCAACTATACTTCATTATTAATAATATTATTAATAATTTCAATTAGATTTAGAATGTATATTTGTAATATTATGATTTACCTTACAAACTATTAAAAATTATTTAGATATACCGCTACCTATTACACTACTATGTATAAAAATACGTATCTTAAATGTTAAAGTCCAATTTTTTCAAATCTAAATAAATTAATTCCGACAATTAAACTTACTCATAAAAATGGTATTTTTTGAATTTTCTAGTCAAAATAGAATGCTTGAAATTTGTTAAACACTCACTAAACTTTGACTACTTCATTAAATTTTGCCAAAATATTGAAGTGTTGTTTAAAAAATAACTTTTCAAAAAAATTTTCATTGTTTGTACTAGGCTCAATGCAGCAAAATACCAACAATTTTTCCACTTTTTTTCTTCAATCAGCAAGCAAAATATTAGAAGTTATTGTTTGTTTTTATTTAAAGGCTATCGCCTTGTAAGCACACTATGGAAATAAACTAAAACTTTTAATAGATCCTGTTAATAACTAACTATAACTTATGTATGTGTGTGTTTGCATGCATGGTTAAATTTAACTAAAGTTCTGTATTGTTTTATTAGAAAAAAATACGTTGTACATGTTTATGAAAAAATATCAAACAAAATTCAAATTTTTAATTGAAAACACATTTAGAAAAAAGTTTTTTTTTTTTTTAATTTTTCTATTTACATGGAAAAACTTTTTCATATTTGTATTATTTTGTGTACGTATTGAATTGTGTAACGTACAAAAGGTGAATTCGAAGTCAATAATTAAAAATGTTTTTGTGGTCTGGTAGACTTTTTAAACTCTATTAGCTAAAATTCCAAACTTTTGATAAAATTGAAAAAATATTACTGATTTAATGCTAAATTCAATTTAGTTTTAAAAAGTTTCTATCAAATAAATAATTCTTTAACCATTTTTATAGTTTTTATAAATTTACCAGACCGTTTGTAACGCTAATACGTAATTGTCTGAGATATAGGCACAAGTGTATGTTTTTGATTAGCGTCAGATTCTCAGATTCTGAGTCGATTTAATCGTGTCTGTCCATCTGTCCGTCCCAAAGATAACTCAAAAACTATTTGAGCTTATTAGTTTTCATAAATGATATACTAATTGAGCTACTTTTCTCTATGACATACTAATTGAGAAATTTTTCATACTAATTGAGGGAATTTGTCAATAATATCGAAACTTCCCATAAGCAAATAATATTTTTAGGGCTGTTAAATGTGATTAAAATTGTTAAAATTTCTTAATATTATAATATATAGACTATTTTTTTATAATATATAAACAATAGTTTTATAAGTACTGTAATTACTCCGTAATTTTAAAGTACTGTAATTACTCCGTAGTCTAATATGGCATACTTGCCCGTCCATAGAATTACAAGTTCGTATTGGTACTACAGAGTTTACACGCCCAACGCTGTTTTTTTCTCATTTTTCCATAAAATCGAAATCTTCTTAATCAAATTTTTTAACAGAGTATATAATAAAATTACTTAAAAAGAAAAAAAAGAATTTTTGTCCCATATAAAATAAGTGTTTATTATTGTAATTATTATTTAATAAAGTGTTATATACTAAATTATTATTTATATTTATAGAGCAATAGAAAAAAAAAACAATTTTAATAACACTAAACTCAATTTCTGATCCGTTTTTTTTTATAAAATTTTAAAAGAAAATTATAGTTCAAGATTCAATTCCACGAAATGGTAATATTACTATAATCAATATATAATATTAAGTCTAAAGAAACCTAATTTATGAAACCTAATTTAAGAAAGTTCAAATTTGATAGAAACATATTTTTGTTCCCCTGGTTAATCCAAAAAATATAACTTCTGTTAATAGGCGTAATTCTCTAAAAAGTATTTTTATTAATTTATTTGAACTTTTTATTCAGTTCAGTACAAGAGAAGCACAATTTTCAAAAATTCATTAAACTAAATTTTACCAAATTAAGATATTATTTAAATATATTTATTAATTATATATTATAGTTTTTCCATTATAGTGTAAATTTCCAATAAATAATATTTAATGTTATTGAAAAACACATATAATGTAAAAGAACATAATATATATATAAATATATATGTATAGAAAGAATTATGGTGCCATTGATTCAAAATCAAACCATTTTGTATACCAATACCAATTTATTTTAATGAAACTGGCAAAAATATTAGACTACAAATTAAAAGAGTGATTTCAAATTTTAAATTAAATATGCTTTTTATATACATATAATATAACAACATTTATTTTTAATTAAAAATTATGAAGCAAAAAAAAAATCTAATTATTTTGCTGACCAAACAATTTCCATATATAAATTTAAATAAAATATTAAACAATATTAATTATGAATTTCAATTAATGTTAAAAATTAACGTCAAAAATTGGTAAACTTCGCATATCACGCGAGGGTATATAATATTTGACGCATACTTTATTATATTTTTTATTATACATACATACAAACTCGGGTACATAATATAATCTATGTATGTGCATAATGATTTAATAAAAGAGCAGTTAAATTTCATATGATTCCCGATATTATTAGAATTTTTGGTTTTTAAAATATATTGGAAATAAAAGAGAATTATTAATATTTAGGTAAATTATTTGTGCTATTTTTTTGTTGAAAATATTGATTTTTATTTAACATTAAAAATTTTGTTTATTGAATAATTTCTGAACTATATATATTGAAAATTTTAAATAGAAATTTAATAAAAATGAATAATAATAAATAAAATGAAAATGTTAAACAGTTTTAATTGAATATATTAAGTAGTAATTCAGTAAAAATTAAAAAACTGAATCAAATTTCATGTAGAAATTATAATTATTTTTTAAATAAGATTTTTTTTAGAAAAATTATAACAAGGCCATGTACGGCTTTCGCCGTTTTCGCGTTTCGTGAATTAATTCATCAAACTGTTTACGATATGAAGTGATTGTAACTGGGTCTAAGGTATGTCGCACCATCTTGTTGACACCATATGTTGTCTCACTCCATGCAATTCAGAAGTTTTTCCTTCTTCTTCGTTCTCGGAAAAAAAAATATTTTCGACGTACCAAAGCGACATAAGTACGTTACTTTTTACTATTTACATATTGTAAAAATCGGATGTGAACTTGCTTGCATGCAAATTTTATTTATTAATTATTTTATATAATTACATTAATAAAATTATTTTCTATAATTATATTAATTGTATGTCGTTTAAATTAAGATCAAGTTTTTCAAATAAAATTTCATAGTAGTTCAAATAATTGAAAGCCAGAAATTAGAATCAGTTCAATTATTAATTGAATTAATTGAAAAGAATATGTTCATAAGAAAATATGTGCATTTTTAAAAGTTCATACGTATAATAGAGTTGCAAATATTAAATAACTGATATTAATTTAAGCCTGATGTAAAAGTGGAACAACCTGTACATCTTAAATAAAAATATTTATTTTATAAAAAATATTTATGAAGTCATACCTGTGTCAAAGTTATATAACATCGATCGGTTAATGGTGTTATAACTAATCTTGTTGTATTACCTAAATATTCATATGCATATAAAAATTCTGCATCGCATATATTTGCATAGCAATCATTTATATTAGTATCCCAACGATGTCTTAATTGACTTTGCCATTGAAATGCCATTGAATTTTCAACTTTTGTTTGAATAATTTTTAATACAACATCACGACAATGAACATCAATTGTACATATAGTCATAATTTTTTGTCTATCACCAGGACTTAATTCACCTAATAATAAATTGATGAGTGCATTTAGTTGTGAAATTTGCTCCTTATGAAAATCTTTCATTGCTGTTTCATAACCTTCTTCTAATAACGCAAAAGCTCTATTCACATCTGATGTCCAACATATTTGTGAACAACATAAAGCTGTTTGAGCTGGCCAATCAAATATCCATTTACCACGAGATTTTATTTGTGTTCTATTCTTATTGATATTAGTATATGAAACTAAATGTTCTAAAAAATTTATAAAATACGTATGTACATATATATTCATATATATCTTATCGCTGTATATTATTAGATAAAGAGTGCATAAAATTCAGTATTAATGATAAGCAAAAAAATGTATGTAGTTTACAAGGATTATCTTAGGATATTTATTCATTTTACAAAATAAGAAAATTTTATTTTCTTATTTTATAAAGTTTTCATATTTTATATATTGCATTAAGATGTATAAAGAACGAAGCGGAATCAAAATATTCAATAAAATTTCTTCACGTAAAATATTATTCAGGTGCCATAGGGATTGAATAAAATTTTATTAGGATTTATTTTTTTCGTATATTTTGTTTGTTAACCATACTTTATCCTTAAAGTTGTCATTCATATGTATACTTTTCTGCAATTTTATGTTTTTTTTTGTATTTTTTTTATAAAAACAATATAATATTTTGTATGAAAGTTAAAATAAAATTTGGGAATAAACGAACTTCTCTACAGAAATTTTTTGAATGAATTTATTGTATTCGTATTTGAACATACACGCATTTAAAGGTAGTTTGAATTATTTTGATATTGAGATAGTATTTGAATTATTTTCGATTCGGTTGTGCATTGGGATTACTGTATAGAGAAATGTTGAATTCATCTATTTCAAATTTAAAATGTTGTTTAACAATAAAACGCTTAAAATTATTTTTTAGCATAATTGTATTTTTTCAAATTTTTACCTAGTGTTTAATTATTTAAAGTGAAAAATAAATTCTATAATACCTTCTAAATCATGCACACATATTATACGAATATCAATAAAAAAATTATAAATAGTCTAGAAATTATTCATGAAATTGTTGTAAATTTTCACAGCATGACCATATTAAATGAATAATGCAGTCATCTTTAATAAACATATATAGAAATACGAATGAATTAAACTAGTTAAACTACATAGCTTATATTATTATTTATGGAAATATATGAGAACTTAATATGCAATTTATATTTGCATTTTTGCATTTATAAAATATTTTACACATTATTCTCTATAATAATTATATAAGGAATTCATAGATGTAAATTTAAAATGTACTCCACTTCATTTTCAAAATTGCTTTGTTGGTTAAAAATATTATGTAAAATGAACTACTAGCAAAAAAAAAAGAGGAAAAATAAAAGAAAAGATTACCTGTTTTAGCTGCACTTCTATCAATATATTGCAAATTTGAATCCTTTTGTATTTCCCATAATGCTGTTTTAAATAAATGCTTTAAAGTTGTACGCATTACATTGATAGCTTTATTCAACCATAATTCAACTCGTCCGGAACATTGAAATGGTGTAATGAATTCAACATATTCATCATTTTCTTTTGAATGCATCCCGATTGCCTCCATTACATTTTGTTTATTACTAATATCTATTGGAATATTATTATATAAGAAGTGTGTTGTTAATTTATTATAGATATGAATAGACAATATTTGCGTATATAAATAATAAATGTTCGTATATGAATGGGATATGTAATAAAATATTACCTAAATGGAAATATTTTTAATATTTTTCTATTAAACGATATTTTCAAACTACTTCAGGCATAATAATTTATAAAATTCTATATAAAACCCTGATGAGATAGTTCAGAATAAAATTGTAAAATAATTTTAATCTTGAAATCATATCTTAAAATATTAGAGGAAATAATTTATTTTTAATTTTATATCTATTATGACTATTGAATTGTGCCTTTTTGTTTGGCTATTATAAATATTCATATTTCACATGACTTCCTTTGAATCACAATTTCACATTTTTCTTGGAAAGAATTTAAAATTGAATTAGTATTTACTTATAATCTGCATTATGAGGCAATCTGCAGTGATTCTGGCATAATTCAAATAAATATGTATGTAATTAACAAAAATGTAGAGTAGGAAGAGTTTTATCTATGTATATTTTATACAAAATAGCATATAAAATTTAATAATAAATCCTTATGAACACACGAGTCGTGTTCTTCCTTGTTAATTGAATTTTCATACTACGATTCGTCCATCTTTCCGATATATTAAATTTGTAGTTTTGTAGTTATAAAATTTCTGTCTTTTTTTTCGGATTCAAAATTTTTTGAGGTGTATAACGTACGTTTAAATCTACTAGCCAAAGAAAAATTTTTCCGTTTTTATACCCTGCACTTCGTGAAGGGTATATTAACTTTGGTATGGAGTTTGTAACTACTTGAAGGAGTCATCTGCGGTATGGACATATATATATATTCTTGCTCAGCGTAAAATTCTGAGTCGATTTAGACATGTCCGTCTGTCCGTCCGTCCGTCCGTCCGTCCGTCCGATCGCACGATAACTCAAAAACGAATAATGCAATCGACACCAAACTTTCACAAGTTTTTTCTTTTGTGCCAAGGACGAGCCCTATTGTTATTGGACTAATTCGGACAACGGGTTCGGGTAGCTGCCATACAACTCAAAGAGTTTATTTTAAATATTTCAAAAACTAATAAAGGTATAAATATAAAATTTTGTATACATGTGTCCAATTATATTCTACACATGCTATAAAAATTATAATGGGATAGCTGCACTGGTTCGGGTGGCTGCCATACAACTTCAACAGCAAATTTTTTATATTCGGCAAAATAATAAAGTCAGATTCATGAAACTTGGCAGTCATGTGTCCAATTATAGGTCAAATATATTTCTGAAGTTTTAGAGGAATCGCTTGACAGGTTCGGGTACTTGCCATACAACTCCAGAAGCTAACTTTAAATATTTGGAAAAATAATAAAGTCAGATTCATGAAACTTGGCAATCATGTGTCCAATTATGGCTCAAATACATTTCTGAAGTTTTGGTGGAATGGCTCGACAGGTTCGAGTAGCTCCCATACAAGTCTAAAAGCTTATTTTAAATATTTGGAAAAATAATAAAGTCAAATTCATTAGACTTGGCAGTCGTGTGTCCAATTATAGGTCCGACATATTTCTAAAGTTTTGGTGCGATTGCTTGACAGGTTCGAGTAGCTCCCATGCAAGTCTAAAAGCTTATTCTTAATATTTGGAAAAATAATAAAGTCAGATTCATGAAACTTGGCAGTTGTGTGTCCGATTATAGATCAGATATTTTTGTGAAGTTTTGATGGAATTGCTTGACAGGTTCAGGTACTTGCCATAAAACTCCAAAAGCTTATTTTACATATTTGGAAAAATAATAAAGTCAGATTCATGAAACTTGGCAGTTGTGTGTCCGATAATAGATCAGATATATTTGTGAAGTTTTAGTGAAATTGCTTGACAGGTTCGGGTGCTTGCCATACAACTCCAAAAGCTTATTTTACATATTTGGAAAAATAATAAAGTCAGATTCATGAAACTTGGCAGTTGTATGTTGAGTTATAGGTCACATATATTTCTGAAGTTTTGGTGGAATTGCTTTACAGGTTCGAGTAGATCCCATACAAGTCTAAAAGCTTATTCTTAATATTTGGAAAAATAATAAAGTCAGATTCATGAAACTTGGCAGTTGTTTGTCCGATTATAGATCAGATATATTTGTGAAGGTTTGGTGGAACTGCTTGGCAGGTTCAGGTACTTACCATACAACTCCAAAAGCTAATTTTAAATATTTGGAAAAATTATAAGGTCAGATTCATGAAACTTGACAGTCGTATGTCCAATTATAGGTCAGACATGTCCGTGAAGTTTCTATAGAATGATTTTAGAGGTTCAAGTAATTGCTACACAATAACGAAAGGTGCAGGGTATAATTCAATCGGTTTATACCGACTGAAACGTTTTTACTTGTTTCTTTTCATTTATTCATTGGATTTTGCACATCTAATTAGAATGCAATACCAAACGGAAAAACAACACAAAAATATTGTTTATATGAGTAATTATTTGCAATGAATTTTTGATTACAGGGATAACAACACAAATAGGTTTTATAAACCCGATTTGCAATATTGTTTTTCTTATGACAATACAAAGAATAATATAAAATAGATCTAAAGAATATTTGATCTAAGAGGGAAAAATTTCTGATCAGGTAAAAAATTTTAAAATCAGTAATGTATCATTCATAATACACATACTAGTTAAATTTTTTACCTATCTAAATTAATTTAGAGGAAAATCCAGAAAATGGATAGTTAAAAAACAATGGAACGCCAATACTAATTATTACGGAAAAAGAAAAAAAATTATGTATGCATTTCAATAATGGAAGAAATATGTATGTATCGCTTTTTTTTATTTTTAAAAAATTGCCTACTTTTTAAATTGTCCGCTTTTATTTTATACAATTCTCTCTTCAAAATTTTATGTCAAATACACATACACATAAATAAGAATCTACTTTTTAATGAACACTTTTAATGAGCGTGTGATTTCCACAATCGAGTATTCTTAAAATTTTTTTTGAAATTCGTGAACATATTACTATTGCTGTTTGTTGAGTATTGTTTTAGCAGACTTTCTTTCTCAAACCTAGATGTTAGATGACATATCTACTACTAAGAACAACGCTAGAAGCAATATATTTAGCTGAGGTTCCAAAATAAAAAAAAAATTAATTTGATTGGAACATAGCACCATTAACATAGAACATAGCAATATTTTCAATAATAGTTTGTTAGTTATTTGTAATTGTCTTAAAGAAGAATTCAAATATCAAATTTTAATTATTAAATTATTTTTGAACTACGATCGGTAAAAAATAATAGTGATAGTTGATTTCTCAAATCAATCTCAAAACAAATTTTAGTTCTAGAAAAAAAATTTTGGTTAATTAGTCTCATCAATTTATCATTCTTCTGAACAAAGCATTCTTTTTTACCTGAAATTTTTAAAAAAGCGAAAACTGCATTTTTTCACATGCATTTTCCACAAAATTTTTAATTATTCTTGTGGTACTTTTCTAATTTTTTTTTTTCATTTCCGTAAAGAATAGGTTACTAAATTTTAATTAAAGTGGTTAAAATTTGTGAAATTAAATTGTCATAAAATACATATGTATACATACTGTGCATTTTAGAAATTTATTATCCATTCCTATATTTTAAGAAAATTTCAAATACACCACATAGAATTCTTCGTAGCCTAATTCGACAAATGAACCCAATTAGCATATAAATGAAAATTTCACAGAATTTTATGATGGTAAATTAAATAATTTTTTGGTTAATTACAAAACTCAAATGAGAAGAAATTTTTCTACAGTGGCCGCTAAAGCTTAGGTTTTTCAAACTCATATAATATTAAGTATGTATGTACATAGGTTTTAATTCTCATATTGTGTAGGTATAATACAAACAATTTTTTCAAATACTATATATATACATATCAGGATTTGTATATAACATCTGTATAGGTTCATAAGTATTATATATGTTTTGGAACCCAATTGATTCGATTTTTAATATTTTATAATTTTAAAATACTATTTTCACCTTAGAATAAAATAAAATAGACTATAATGTTATGTTAAAACAAATAATGTCAGTTACAGCACACAACATTAAGATTTTTCTTTATAAAATTACACTTTTCTACGAAAATCAAATTAAAGTACGAGTAGCTACCTGTATATCTATGGATTTAATTGCTACGAAATATTCTGAAATAGATATTTGGTATATTTAAATAATTTGAATTTATCTTTGATTTGAAAAAACAATGACTGATAATTAGATAGAACAATTATCGAAAAATACGTTTATAAATGTGAATTTTGTAAAATATTAAAAGTACCGTGAGTTATTTCAATTATAAAGTTCATATAAAATGAGATTGCCTTAACTCAGAAAGTTTTTTCTAAATAAATTCCAGGTATTCCAATGTAGTTCTTATTGAAACAGTAGTAGATTCAGTTTAGATAATTTTTGAAAATTCTGAATCAAATTCGTTTTAGAATGTACAAAAAACGTAAATACTTATGAAATGAATTGCTCGATTACTAATATAAAATGAAATTTCTTACCAGTTGTATCAACACTTGTTGAAGATGTAAATGCATTTCCATTTTCATTATTCTCATCTAACAATAAACATTTTTTCATTTCTTCAGCAATAAGAATATCATCGCTTTGATTTCCATCACCTAATATGGACTCAACTATAGCTTTAGTTTTGATTTCTTTATATTCAAATCTTAAAATTGAATCAAATAATTTTATTAAATGCCTGTCAACCAATTTTGGATTATTTCCATTTGACAAAATATCTAAAAGATCTGCTGAAGATATAAAATAAAATCTTGGAAATGTTAAACGTTTAGTTTCTAAATAATTATTTAAAGCTTTCTCGCATATAATTAATCGTTTTAAAATATTTTGTAATTTTGTATTAATTTCATTTAAATCCTTAATAATATTAATCATTTTCATAGATTCATTAACTGTTTTCAACAAAAGTTCTGTAAATTCAATATCAATTTCTTCAAAATTTTTCGAATCATCCGGTAATTGTGCTCTAATATCAGACGATCCAATAAAAATACTTTCTAAATACATCCATTTACGTTGAACTTCAAACCATAATGTAATTAAGGAATCGATATTTGTTAATATTTCTTGCCATTTAATTATTTTTGGTAAAATGAATTCAATATATTTTGATGTTGATATATTTTGTAATTGCATTTGATTATCATCCAATGTTTCGATTAATTGTTCAGATACTTTTAATAATTTTACATTTCGTTGCGGATGAATGTCCCACTCGAATTCCATATTATACCATGTTTTTTTAATATCATTTAAAATTTTTGTTGCTGACATTTCTTTAATAGCACGGTCAACAGTATTTTTAACTTCTTCTTCAAAATTATGAAAATTCATTGCTAATAAATCAGATAGTCTTGTTTTATAATCAAAATGATATTGTATCTGAAATTATTGAATAAAGGTTTAATAAAATTTATAAAAATACCTTGAAATAAAAAACAAATATGAGGCAATCTTGATCTGTCGAGTTGTTTTTGTACTTTTTTCCTTCTAAAAAAAATCGCTGAAGGGATGAAGAAATGTATCTTATTTCGACATATTTGTGGTCAAGAAATTAATTGTCTAGGCTCATCTACTTACATACATGTATGTTCCAATTAGATTCGTTAAGTTAACTACATAATATTATATATAATGTAATGTAACTAAAACTCCAAAAAACTTTGCTCTTTTTAGAATAGCCTTAATATTTTTCACATTTTTAAATTTAAAACGTTTTTTATTTGTATTTTAGAATTTCTAGAATAAATTCTAATTTAATTATAAAAGAAAATGTAACTTTGTTAGAAAAACTGAAATTCATTTTTCATTTAGTTTATTCTTCTTCAAATATAGTTGACTCCGAAAAAAGCAAAAAGCGCACTTAAAATCCGTTACATTAAAAAAAAAAAAAATTATTTTAGACATCGCTGTGTGACAGCTGTTTGTCAGTTATGACAATATGTGGAATTGGGTGTGTTCAACTACTGGGAAAAAAAATGACTGCAATCTTGCAAAAAAAGTATCAAAAATATATTTTTCAAAAAAAAACAATTGCACTTAAACGAGAAAAAATCCATATAAAAAATTTTTGATGATGAAATTTTTGTGCACTTGCACTAACCCGATCTAATTCATGAGAACTATAACTGAATGGTACATGGGTATTAAAAAGTACATTGTTTACAAAGACGAGTTTTGCATTTACCGGAAATTGCACTTAAGCGTGTTCTACCCTACATATGTTAGTACATATTGGTGCATACATACACATGTAAGTCAGTTATTCAAAAACTCCATTAAACATAAAAAATTTTCTATACTTTTAACCAAATTTTAATGTTATTTAATTAATCACCGGCAAATAATTTTTACTGCAACTACATACAAAAATATATATTATTTAAAAATGCAATAGAAATTTTCTGTGAGCATTTCGTCTCAATATGTACATGATAAATGTACATATGTATGTTAGTGCATTATCCTTTTAACATTGATCATAAATATTTAACATATTAACATTTAGTGTTTATCCTCTTATAATTTTGAATAGAATTTTTTTTTAGTCCCTTAAGTTAAATTTTATTTTCAAATAAAAATTTTGCTTCGGCACTTTTTTTTTCAACTTACCAATTTTTCCAAAGGGAATTTTTTTGTGAGCTTTTCACATTATAACATGAATGAAAAATAATAAAAAAAAAAGAAAAATAAATAAGTTAAAAGAAAATCCAAACAGCTTTAACAAACCAGAAGGAAAAATACTAGCATACCGGAATAGCGCATTTTTATGTACTTTTGAATAATAACCATGAAATTAACTTTTAATGTCAATATTAAAATTTGAAGAGCAAAAATTCATTTTTTTTTTTATTTGAAAAGAAAATTCATAATTTTGTTAAATTTGTTTGCTAAATAAAATGAGAAATTTATACAAACAGATTTTACACACAAAAGTCCCAAAAATCTTTTCAAATTTAAAATAAAGTAATCCTTTTAATAATAAAAATAAGTAAGTATATATGTACGTATATGTGAATTCCAACAATGAATTTGTAAATTAATGCGAAAAAGTAGTCAATTAGTTTAAGATATTTGTGATTTTTTCAAACTATGATGAAGAGTTACTTTTTTAATTTTACTTAACAATAGAGAAGTGACATTTTATAAGGTAAGTATAGAATTTACTCTTCAAACTATTCAAAACCATTTTATTAACACTTCCGTTTTCAAAGAGTTTTAAAGAAAAATACTACACAAATATTGTTGTTCTTATAAGAAATAAGGATGATTAGTAGAATAAATAGTGATTCATACTCTTTTTTGAGGATAGTTTATTATTACGGCACTGCTTTGTATAGAAATTCAACCACGTATAAGAATAATGAAAATGAAGAAACTGCTTTTAAAAACAACCGAAATGAATCTGCGCAACTAATCCTTTCGACTAATCGGTTATGGTGCACTAAAAGAAGTTGGGGATTAAAAGGTTTGGAGAAATACCGCAATTCTATAGCAAACCGAAATAATCAAGATACTGTCAGAATAAATTTTGTTATTTTCAATTTGTAAACTATTTTGTATTACTGAAATTTTTAATTAAAAAAATTTTAGAAAATTAATTTGCAATCAATCAGCCTCTTCATTCAAAATTATTATATTTCTGTGAATACTTCAATTTTTCATTTTGCAAATTCTTTGCATTTTACCTAGCAAATTAAATTAAAAAATATTACAATAATTTACTGAATTTACTAAAATTCTTATTATATTATCCTTGTATATTATATTATTCATATTGGTTGCGTATTTTTCCTTTTTTTTATTTTATCACAATATTCTTTAACGTGAATGATATTAACAAAACATTACAAAAAAAGTATGAATTTTTCTGTATATATATATGTATGTAATGCTTTTTAAACTTTACCTTAGTTGTATGCATTAATTCAACCCAATGCCTTTCTGTAATAGCTGAATTTTGTAATTCAGTGATAACTCTTAAAGATGAAACTAAATCTTTTAAAACATTTTCAATATATATATATGGCTGCCATGAACGAACTTTTTTATCTAGTGTCCTTAAATCTCTAGTGAATTTTCTGCATTCATTTTCCATATCATCTGCATCAATTTGCCGCCAAGCTGTATATTTCCAATCAATAATGCATGATTCAATGACTTGAACAAAATCCCAAAGTTGCTGTGGGTTATATTGCATGTATAATATGCATAATATAAAAGGGAAATAATATATACAATAATTATATCTATTTATATATGTGTAAATGTATTTCGTAATTGTATATTTATATAAAGGTATAAGAGATTAAACGCATATATGATTCTCTTGAAGAGAAATGAAAAATAAGAAACAGAAAATATATAGGAAAAAAATTTTTTTTCAAGAAAAATTTTTCGACACAGAAAAGAATTCATCTGAAAAAGGATAATAGAATGAATTTTCTTGCAAGTTATTTTAAAACTTTTTGAAAAGGTAAGAAGAGGCTATTAGGCTATTTTGTACTTTTTATGTAGCTACTAAAGGATAAATTTTTTATCTTCTTTCTTAAAGATTTCACATAAATATTTAAGATTATCTGAGTAAAATTGATGTTATTTCAATTGTGTATTAAGAGTTACAGATTTATTTGGTGTTAAATAATACAAGGTATTTTATTAAATTTCAGATTAAGAATAAGGAGAATATAGGTACAGATTTTATAAAACAACAATAATGACAAATTTGAAAGTTTGAAATTTTAAGGTTATATGTTCGTATTACATGCTTTTTTCTACAATCACGATTTTTAACAATTTTTCTCAATTGAAACCCTCAATGGCGGCCTGGCGACCACGGGGAAATTGTAGAAAAACGGCAAATTTGAGCTAATTGGGATGCGGTGAACTGTTGCACCTTCCAAGTCAACAAACCATCTAATCAACCAAAAAAAAGAAAAAAAATAAAGTTGTAGGCATAACTAAGAATAATTACTGATTAATTAAATGATTCGCAGTAAAATTTTGGAAGTTTTATTCATTGTTTGTAAATAGCCTCACGTAAATTAGAAACTACTTTAAATAAAGAGTCTATTCAGCAGTTTTCAAAAAAATCCATTACTCCAATTTTATTGTACATTAAACTTATTTATGGGTAAATAATAAAATATAGTAAAAAAATCTAAGTTTTATTAAATACAGGTCTAGTAAATCTATGTTCTGGATATCGATTCAGAATCCTGGATATCGATAACACTAACCGAAATCGAGTTTCTAATACCAAATAAAAATTTCACCACACTTCGGTGTGTGTATCAAGTGAAAGAAGACTATATCGATCTTTTCTAAAAACGTAGTAGGAAGTACCAAACAACTCCAAAATATTGAAGGAAGAAGTGTATTCAAAGAAAGTTTATTGAAGGAAATTTATTTAAATACATATGTTATATTATTTTAATGTCCCAATTTCCTAGTTTTTCATCTCATTATTAATTCCGAGACAAGAGTTAAAATTCGTGCGGTTTAAGTTGAATTTTCTTTTCTGTATTTAATTATCAACTCCTGCATTAAAACTGTTGAGGAATTTTAATTCAATTTAATACAAAATTTAAAAAAAAATAAATTCTCTGAATTTAATATGAACCAGGCTCTGACATACTTTAAAATCTCTGAATCAATTGGTACGTAATAACATTCAAATTAAAACAAAATAAATAAATAAGAACAACCTTTGCTTTAGAAAATTTCAATTATAAGCACACAAGAACTGGAACATATATATTTCTATATGGGACACATTATTGTGTACATGAGATCCTATAAGAAACATTTTTAACATATATATATTTAACATTTTATTTACTAAAACACAATTTTAAATTCAGCAAAGCTACATATTTTTTTCCTTTTCAGAAAAAGAGATTAAAGCGTTATATATGTATGTAAAAAATGGTATATATAATAAGGATGCTAATATATGTATATATGTATTTGCATAATAGGCGAATTGGAACAAAAGAAAGCACTATTACATTATTCTATTATAATGCAAAACATAAAAACGACCAAAAAGGAACACGAATTTGAAAAAAAAACTCAATATACAATGTTTAGAGCGTATAAAAGCGATTAAGTGAAAAAGAAAGCAACAAAATAAACACTAAATAAAACTAAAATGTAACCAAAAAGGTTGATGAATACTTCACAGATCTATAGTGTACGTATATGCATATGATATGTTTTACATACAAGGCATTATTGCAATAAATGTATGTATGATGCATAAAACTCAATAAAGTGCTCATAGAGATTTTTAAATGCATTTACACACACATACATTTCTTTTTTTTTTTTTTATATACATATATATTATTATTCTCACCTTCACTTGTTTTATTTCC